AAGCCGACACAAGATGGGTTAACACTCTCAAGATTTTTTGTGAATTTATCTCTATTCAATGATAATTTGAATTGATTTAAATTAGCTTTGCCAAATAGGTCTAGTAACTGCCAACTTCATATGTACCTAGTATGAATTGAAAGGATCCCTTCTATTTAATATAATTTAATTCCATAAAATACTTTATTGGTTGAACCCTAATTTGGTTTCTTTGTTTCTATCTGAAATGTCACCTTTTAATAATGTCTATAATTAAAGCAATTGAAACCAAAATCTAAATAGTATTGGCCTGACTTTCAACTTAAGATTTGAAAAAGATCTCCACCCTTATGTAAACAATAAGAATTTGTCATAAGGTTACAATATAACTGTGATAGGATGGTGTGTGATGACCTAGTCTAAGTAAATGTCTAGCCTATAATCCTGTGTTGATAACTATGTAGTATGTATGAAATATTTTAACTTAATTAGATACATGGACCCTACATGCATCAATCCAATAGTGTTTAACCAACCATGAGATCTTTATGAATTTATTCATACACCATATTATTGGGGTCAATAGTGTAGTATTAGAACAAACTATAAAGTTGAATTAATTAAAAAAAGAGATCCCTGATGTATCACAAAATTTTGATTTAAGATGAAAGAAAAAGGAAACAGAATTTATGTGAGTAAATGTCAAAGGCATGGTAAGAATGTGTATATATAGAAGTCATTACAATTGACTCAGTTATTTCAAATGTTGATTTCCTCTCTTCCTTTAACATAGGCTACATCATATACCAGTATTAAATCTTGAGCAATTTCATTACTGGAATATTGATTTAGCAGAATTACAGAAAAACTGAAACGCATGAACATAACTTAATTGTATCGTATAGACTAGTCCTGAACCAGACACCTTACCTCATCAATTTTACTTAAGTCCCTCAATGTGATATTATATTGTTTTTTAACCTAAATTATGACACTGAAAGATCACTGACTTTTTGGGCCTTCCACATGAAATTGAAACTAGATAAACCGTCATTGGGTTGTGCCTGAGAATTTTGTTATGCTTCCTAGAATAGGAGTTGAATAGTTTTGAAACAAGAAGATATATGTTATTAACAGGTTAATATGTTAAAGTTATGTAATGAATTAAGCTGATAATAGGTAAGACTTTATGTATAAAATTGAGAGAAATAGATTGAAAATGTAAGTTGTACAAGTATCTTGGCAATTGTAAACAGGATTACATGGTGCCATGGTGAATATATTGGACATGGCCTCAATTTGGAAATGAATTTTCTTATGCAATAACTCACAGCATCATACTCAACTTATCCCTTGACTTTCAGTAAATTTTCAGTGTTATATGAACATTGGCTTTAAAAAATAGTAAATATAACATATTAGCAATCTGTGCATTTAGAACTAATTTACTCTTCTAGTCTATAGACAAAATGTGATTTATCTGATCTATTAACCAACAGATGGCCCATTATGATGAAATTGAACTATCACACATGGCAACTATTCCGTTTTTCAGTTAAGAAATATTAAACAGGTTTATTTCATCTATATGAAATCTTTGATTTCAATCAATAGACAAAATATCACTTGATGCCAAAATAACAAGTCAACCATATGAATCTACTTAAACCTTTATTTCAAAGAAACAAAAAAATAATATAAACTAATTATTTTGGTAAAAAAATATGCCAAAACATTTTAAGCAACTAATGGAAGTATAGTCAAATTATGAAAAAATATTATTTATGATTGGTCCCATTTCCCCTTTTAAAAAATATTTAACATCTTAACAACTTTTGAAATATAACAAACATTAAGAATGCTCTCTTATGTCATGGAAACTTATTATACTTATAATAAAAGAGTATCAACAGTTTAACAAATAACATTTCTGAAAATTTCTTTAAAAATTTGTAAATGTAAAAAAACAAAGGATTGATATCATTGCTTGATTTACTATCTACCCAACTAATTGCATATGATGTATCTAGTAAATTGGTGAGGTTTTATTTGGAAAGCTTGCATCAAGGCCACAAAAATAAAACAAATCTGATCACTGAAATGGGTGTGGTATATCATTATGCAGGTTTTTCAAAGGATAATAGCTTTACAGTTCATAAAATGTCTTTCACCTAATCCATAATCATTCGACCTTTACCAAAGTTTTGACCAGCTTGGGTAGCTCCCTTATTGCTTCCCATTTGAAGACCAATTACATTTTGACCAGCTTTCAACTGTTCTTCAGAAAAATTTCTAATATTGGCTTCAGATTCTTTGGGACCATAGCCTCTCATGCCTTTTGCTTTTGCCTGAAAAAGAAATTCCAGAATTGCTACTTGTACTTTTAATGTCCATAAACCATTCAGATTATGAGGTTAAAAGACACTTGAATTTAGTGTTGTGTTTAACGTACATTTAATACTAAGTCATATTTCAATTTCAAAAATAAACCTTTTCAATCTTATGAAGTAAAATAGAAAATTGTTAAATAAGCTTTTCATCTATCAAATTTTGAATTTTTGGCAACATGTACTCTCAAATGACAATTGGTTGTAAAGCAAAATGACCTACGAAATAATTGGTCCATGTATGCTGTTATTGAATTATTGATTATACAACATGTGTTGTGGAGCATAAAATAGAATTATTTACATACCTTTCTAGCTGTGGAACTCAGGCATAATATAACTTGATGTAAATTTGTTCTCTCAAATAAATCCACAGTTTGAAAAGACTCTGTAGCTGGGACACCAAATTCTACTGCTTTCGCAAGGAAAATGTTGATCATTTCCATTTGTTTAAAGGCTAATTTTTGTGCAGTTTGTAATTTACTAGAGTTAACACAACCAGGGTGTAAAACATTAGCTAATCTGAAATATTATACAAAACATTATAATTAACTGATATTCTATTAGTTAAAAAATATTGTCGCTGATATTAGGTTTCCAAATGGGCAGCAATGCTTACCTGAAATTTTCTTGAAAATTAAGACTAAATTTTCAAATTCATTGCTAAGTTTGTATAACAAGGATTATTCCATCTATTGGATGTTTTAAAGGGAAAAACTTTGTGATTTTACATTATTAACATAAATTGACCAATCTGTATACAAGGGGAAACATGATTTTATTAAGAAGTATTTTGTGGTAAGTTTATCTTGCTTTGTTCAGAAGGTTAGTTCTGCATCACTATGTTCACTTTGTAATAATTTGTTATACTGCATTTAGTGTGTTATAGTTGATTGGGTTCAATTCTACCTCATCTAACTCGTCTATTTTCAATTCAAATTAATTGTTATCTCACCTTGAAAGATACAAACCATCTTTTAATTGTTCATAAACATTATCTTGAGAACCTGATGTATTAGTTGGACCTTCCATACCATTATCTGATAAAATACCCTTCAACCACTCCAAGGCTTGTTGAGCCTCACCTTCGTCATATTTTTTGGATATCTACAAAACATAAGTTGATATTGAGCTTTAAATTGTTGCAAGAAGATACTATTCACAGAGCCCATAGCATGATCTCTTCAACTCGTTTCGAACTTTCCAATGAAGTCTTTTTACTTGAATGTAAGTACTAATGTAAATACTAAGGTATGTCATTGCAAATTCTGCTTGCAAGATTCTGAAAGCATTTGAAGTGAAAATGCGCAATGCAGTTTCAAAAGCTTTAGGTTTTTTTTTAAATGACATCAGCTGAGACATTTTTATATAGAACAACATGTAGTTATAAATAGTATTTATGGTATTCATTATATTTTACCATTGAAATAATAACCCTTAATAAAACAAAATATTGAGAAGGATACTTTTATTCTAAGGTTTTCTCCTTGTACATTTTGTTCCTAATGTATGAAGGAAATTTAATTTGTGAAAATCATTCAAATTTTATTTGAACTAAAATAAATAATGAAGGTCAACCATCTGTCTCACTTATACTAATGGTGTACAATTTCTATTAATGGGAGTATATTATTGGGTATGTAATAAGTGGTAGAGAGATTGGATGGCCACATCTGTATGAAAATTGGTGAGCATGACTATAACCCAGCACAGCCTCCATAATCCAATGAACCTTTAACCTAGATCAGGGTAGTTTACTTAATATCATCCCAAGCCGTTTAAAGGAACGGATGCACCATTTTTTTTTGACCAATCGTCTCAAAAACAGGAATTTTTAGCTAAGCCAATCAGTAATAGTGTTCACAGCTGACTGTCGAAATTAAAGCCTGTAAGTCTAAATGTGTCCATAATAATCGCGTTTGAATGTTAAAATGACAACTCGTCATTTTAAGATACTCTGTGAGACTAACAAGCAATAGAGAGTAAAATTCCTAGTTTGAAGTATTTTGAAATGAATTATGCAATTTGCATGCATTTCTAGTAGTCCTGAGGACTGTATACACATATTTAACACCTGAATCAACCCTTCAAAATGGTGGTGCAACTATCCCTTTGATACCCTTTAAATACTAGCCCTGGGCCTACACCTCACAAAATATTCACCAAGTTGGTTACACTACTTATACCCAATAAACAATACTAGTTATAAAAAAAAATACAAATCTAGTTGCAGAGTAGCAACAGGTGTCTGGGAAGAGTGAGGATGGCCCGACATATAACACTCGGTTAGTACTTGTATTGGAATATACAATCAAAGTTGTATTAAACGCATATAATACATAAACCAAATGGATGTCACTGTGGAATGAACATACCTTGTCCTGCTTGGGACACTCTCAACACTTATTATAGTGGATTATTAACCAGTAACATTTAAAAAGTTGCATTCCAGTGCATTTGCAATAATAAACATTTTTGCAATAATAAACATTTTGCAATAATAAACATTATGAATAATATGTTTACAGTTCTTATTGTATGTAGGCCTATTTGGTTATAAAATCATGCTTTGGATAGTTTCCAAGTCATGTAGTTAGGAGAATAAACCTGACCATACAACATTTAATAGCTTATTCAGTAGACTGAAGAATGACACACACCACAAACTAACTTTTATTGGATTGAAAACTATATATAGGTCTATATATACATCTATACATATAAAGTGAAGGAGATACAATATAATCAACTTAACCGATACTTACTTTATCGGCAGCCTCAGCGGCAAATCCAGATTTTGTTGCTCTATTTGATGCCATCCTGAAATTTAGTTGACTTGATAAATGTTCACGAGTAATACTAAAGATTCAACCCTCAACTTTTATTAAATCTTCCAGTATTTTAGGCGCGTCTACTATACACTAATGATGAATCATTTGATCACGTGACTAAAGGCTGATTCAATTGGCTGTATACAGGGTGTGGAATTTGTATGGTTAAGGCAACTTAAAGTTAACAGGAAAGGGAAGATCATATTTTGCTTCATTGTCCAAATAGAAACAATTAAATTTTTATGACTTCATGAATGTTACAACCTAGCATTTATTCATTCTGGACCGCAAAATATGATATATCGTCTACCAGTGGGCAGAAGCCTTTCTTTAAATATTTCAATACTTAGAAATGGTATGTCTACGGAAAAGGCCTAAAGTCTACCAAACCTTAACCATACAGGAAAAACACTCTAGTTATCCACTTACAGATTCAATAATTACCTTTCGATTGATATTGCATGTTATGCAAATGATAAATTATTCTCTGGAGAACAACCTTCGTACAATTGATTATGTTGTGTTGATATGTTATATTCAGCTCATTACTGTTTGGTCTACTCATAGAAATAGATCTCGAGAAATGAACCTCAATATTGCCAGGGGACTTGTCAATTTGATTTGGTTGAAAGTTTAAAAACAACCTCTGAATAGCATGTCTATTCCATGATTCAATTAGGCTATTCAAAATCATTCCAGTTTATAACAATAGGCTAATAACAATTGAAGCACAACAGCATTGCTTTATAGGCTAAAAACATACTATAGGGCCTACTATTTTTCAGTAAATGTAAAAGGTAACTTAATACATTTCAAAGGTCAAACAAACAAATTGCTAAGACTAAGGTGAATGAAAGTGTAACCAAGATAAAGTGACAAGCATTCGTTATGTGACTGTTCACCATTTCAATTCATTTGTCAACAATAAGAAGGGCCTAGTGTGTGACGTCAATGTCAATGAACTATATAGCTGTATGTATTAAAATTCCAAATAGATTCGTATTGCCTTATATGGAAAAGTTGAAGTACAAGAAAAAATTATCCAATAAGATATCGGGGCTGTGTGTTTTATTAGAAAAACAGGTTTGAAATGCACATCATATTGTAGGTTTTAAATTGGCCTATTACATCATGGGTTTACCATGATTTCTATGATAAGCTGACCTTAACCTGTATCCTGCTGCTGTCTCTATGTATTCCTCAAGTTGTGCGAATACTTGCCTCAGAACCGTTTTTATCAACATTTACTTTTACTAATTAATGACCAATAATCATTATTATATTTGCCCCACGTTAAATGCATACATGGGAACCGTGGAATTTGCTGGCCTTGTGTTCCACATCAAAACAGTTAAGTACCTATAAAGTTAGATGTAGATTTTGAAAGAGCAGCGAATGTTTAAAAGAGGCCACCGATATAACAGAACCATTTTCCTGGATCAAACAGTGATGGTGTGCACCCAGTTCCAGAGATGGATCATCAGCCAGTGATAGGGATCAGAACATTGTATGCTGATAATTAGGAATCATTGACGCCAGCCAAAACACATTCCCGAAACACCCTACAAGGTCCATCTATTTACTAGCCTTTGCTGGCAGGTAATGAATAAAGCTGCAAATTGGAGTAACTGAACGTCAAAATTAGGCTGCGGACACGGAACATAACTAGAGAAGACTCAAACTCCTTACAGATGTCTCAGATATGTGCAAACTTAAGGCGTCAATTGTCATCGAATCTGAGGATGAACCAGATGGACAAGAACTTCATTACAGACTTTGCCGCCCTGACAACAGGAATTCCACGTCCCTTACTCCAAAAAACTAGTGTATCCTTCTTTTTTTGTTTCAGGTGGCCTATAGACATCAAATCTCGGGGCCAAAATCTCATCTGCATGCAAGAATACATTGATGAGATCTCAGTCAAATGAGGATTTGGTAATAATTGGAAGAAAGGTTTCGGAGTTATTGCCCTTGACTTAGTAAAAACGCGTCAAATTTGGATAGTAGCCAAGGCGTGATAGAGGCTACAGTTGTTATCCCATCTAGACGAAACTTGGTTTGCATGCATACGTGTATTGCTGAGATCTCAGTTGAGTTCGAATTTGTTATCAATCAGACGAATGATGATTATTGAGTGGTGTGATATAACTTTCATGCCTTCATGACATAAAATAAATTGTGCTGATTGAAACTGAATAATGAGCCTTTTTCTGTTCAGGTCCACAAGTAAAAGAGACAGGGGTGGGGAGTGGGGTGGGGCGGCGCTTCCTTGAATTATTTTCGCCCCCCCCCCCCCTCCACTGCAAAATTCAAACAAGTTCTCAATCGAAGCTGAAATCAGTCTCTATCAGATATTTCAGCCTCCGTGCAAATGCATTCGCCCCCCTTGGCACATTGGTCTGGTTACGGGCCTGTTTCTGTTGATAACGATTTATAGTGCACATCTTGCTTTGAGCAATTTTCATGATGACTAAATTTCTTCGGCAAAGATGGAGTTCAGTCCTTTATACTAACTTCACTATATTCTAAAGCTTTATGTAACAAAAATCATTGGTTATAGTTTATGCACCGTTTTGACATTCGTCAGGCACACGGGCCTATTGATCAAAAACAATATGAATTATATTATACATTATATTACTTATAAATATGTTGCATAAACTATAACTAGTGATTAGCCTATTGTTCCATATAGCTGTAGAATATACAGCTAGGCCCTAGCTATTTTAATATGGAAGATTACAGGTTTAATATTTCGGTGATTAATATTTGGAAAGTGCTAAAATTCAAAATTTGTCTTCTTTTTGTGTCTTTGTATAGACATACCAAATTTTATCAAAATCGGTTAAAAACTGTAAATTCTAGAGAGTTTACGAGGGATAACGTCGGCCGCCTTGTAGCTAAGAGAGGGTAACAAGATGGCGCCTTGTGACGTAATTGGCCAGACTCTCTCTATATACGGCTCTGAACATTGTCGTATACATTTAATCGTAGTCTGGAGCCTTTGCTGTTCCAAACGAAGGAGTTATTACCCTTTACAATAAAACACACATTTTGCACAATAACAACAATCAAGAGAGATAAGAGTGGATGATGCCAGTTCCTAGTGATAGTCAAGTGGCAGAGGTGGTAGTGACATTTGAAGATTTCAAAACTCTTCATGAACCTCAGCTAAGAACTACAGGTGTTCCTGAAATATATTGGAAAACTTTGTTTACCAAACTCACAAAACAGGTAGGGGAGAGTGGGGGAATACCAGAACAACGTGGATCTATAAAAAAAAAAGAGAAAGTTCATTGCTTGCGAATTACATTATGAAATATAATTTTCAATTTTCAATATTTATCTATTTATAAATTTTCAACTGTGATATTTTGTGATATGATTGATAGGGGTGGTTAACATCCACTGCCATTAAAATAGTTTCCAACTATTTCAGTTAAGTTACTAATTAGTGACAATCAGTGAAAGAAATTGTGATTCCTTTCACAAACTAAAAAACCAAAATGTACCTTTTTATGTGGAATGAAATCATCAAGAAGTGCTATGCGTATCATGGCATGTTGTATATCGATTTATCATTGGTCATTTTCCTGGTCAATTTAAAGGATATTATGGTAATTCATAATTTAATGTAGGTCTACAGAATCTTATATTTCTATGGAACCAATGACATTCCAGGACAAATTGAATGCAATAAAAAAAGGAAAGTTTCAATTCTGAGCTCACTGTAAATGTGGTTTGAGAGTATCTTAGTCATACCAATCAAAAGCACTTGATTCTTTTTCTTATTTTTTATCTTTAAGATATATGATGCTGGAAGAAGTTTTCAGATATTATGTGTTGAATTAGAAAATGAAGAGAATGAAGTTAAAGAAATTAAATGGAAAGTTGTAGTGATTAATGAAGATGGTTGTAAGACAAGTGATGAGAATCAGTAGGTTCATGTTGTGTTGGTGTTTATTCTTTATCTGCTACAGTATTCTCTTCTTTTGGGGTGCCTCATAGCTTCTATTTGTATACCATCTTTATACATAATTCCTGTGAAGTATTTCAGAATAGTGATGGTATCCAATAGAACTTTAAGTTATGTTTGGATTATTTACCTTTGATAAAAAAAAGAGTAGACTCTTCATAATATCTCTTTATAGAATTTATCTGGTGGATCATGCCTGGACTTATAAAGTTAAAGAAGCTAGGAACCATCTGATCAATATACCTTGTCTATTAGAGAGAATGGTAGATCTGATGGAGATATCAAAAGAAAACCAATCAAAAGATGATATGATCAACAATGTATTATCTGAAATGTGGAAATATAATCAAACCTTTAGCTTTGGAAATACTGAATTGGTGAGATATTTTAATGTGCAATCAAATTATAATTTGATGTAGGCTTATCACATATGGGTGGGGTGTCTTCATACAGATTAAATCTATCAAAAAAAGATGTTTGTATTATGGTCCAAGTGTTTTTAAACCTCCAATAATGCAGATGCCATCATTTCTTTGACTCATTGTTTCTTGTCAAACAAGGAGTTAGTCGCATTCATGTTATATTTTTACAATGTCATGTAATGGAATGGCTATGTGAATGTTGTAATAATCTATAATCAGCATTTTTGTAGACAATATGATATTATTGATGGTAATTGATAATCTGTAAACATTAAATTATGATATAATTTTAGGGTTCAGAAGAATCTTTACCATACTGGTACATTATGGATGAATTTGGTTCTAAAATACAACATTCTGATAACCCAACATTTAAAATGGAACCATTTTTCTTTTCCTATCAAAATATTTCATTTACATTACTATGGCCAATTGTTGATAGCAAAAAAGGCGGTAAGGATGTTTCTATAATTTGTCTATAACTTAAGTTATTATCCTTGCTGTGAATGTCGTTGAATATCTTGCATTCCCAATTGAATGTATTTCATGACTAGGGTTAGGAATTTTAGGTTTTAACATTGCGGTTAACTAATGTTACGAAAGCACAGGCACAGGCATGCAGACTTGACCTTAGGGTTAGGGGGTTAGGGTTAGATTTAAAAAAAAATGGAAGCTTTTTAAATTAAGTCAAGTAACTGCTTAATTTCCTCAATAATAATTATAAATATATTTTTTATAGATGATGTTACAAGAAATTATGTTGAAAATACCAGTGATCCATTGATTCAGAAGGCTAAACTAATACCATGGAGATATGAGAATATGACTACTATAAATTGTAAACAAGAGGAGCCTGATGACTCTTACTTTATTGTAAGTAGAAAATCTTGTAACCAAATGAGATGAAATTGGCACTTGCTATAAATATAAAGTCCAAATTCGAATTTGTAACACCCAATAGACACTCAATTGGTTGGCACTCCATGTTGGCATGTTTGTTCACATTAATTAATGCCTCTAAAATTGCCAAAATCAACAGTTTTTTACTGAGTATGTGTATAAAGAACCATAAAATGAGGGAAGAATGAATGAAATTGGAATTTGTTTTATTCCGCAAGAACATTTATGAACCATGTATATATTGTTTTTTCCATAGAGTCATCGAGTGAATGAAAGTCTTCCAAACCCAACAGCTACTTATCCTGATCTACCTAAAGATAGAAGTATTAAAGTTTATATGGAGTATAAAAATTTGGCTGAACATTTGACAGATCCACGTTTTGAATTAATCGATAATACAGCAGATGCTGATATATTATGGTTAAATCAACATTATAAAGATTTCAAGTGTGTAATATTTGATGTCTAATGTCTTAGCAAAAACTTGGAAATGATCTAAGAATGTTATTCAACTAACTTTATGGTAACATTTCATATATATCAGGACCATCCCTGATATAGCAAATATTGTAACATCAGTTTCCTTGCATTTCACATATTGATAGGGGTGTCTCTGTGAGTCCAGTCCAGCTGAACCTTTTGTAGATTGGAAAGGAATAAGTAATATAGCTATCCCACATTAAATTACACCCTGCATGACATTGCTTGTTTGCTCTTACAGCAATATCTTTTTATTGTTTTTTTCAATATAAAGTAATTATCTATTATAGGGGTCTAAGTGAAGAGTTACCAGGGGTGTATATTAATCAGTTTCCTATGGAATATGTTTTAACAGTAAAAGATATAATGGCTATTGTAAGTAGAAGAGCAGCTAAACATGATGAGGTATTCCCATCTTCACCTACATGGTTACCAGTAACCTACAATTTAAAAACAGAGTTACCTCAATTTATATCTTATTATCAGCAAAGAGAAGAAAGGTAATTATAACCTATATGATGATATCAATATTTACCTTGACAAGAAGTCTCACAAAAGAAGCTCTATCACTATTACATGATTTTGCTGGTCAGAAAAAACTTTATTCTTTGTACTGGACATTTTCAAAAGCCATAAAAAGTGATGATTTTTTTTCTTTTTTTAATTGCATGCCAAGCCTTCAAGTATTTGTGCTTAAAACTATGTATTTATGTTTATTAAAGGGGACTAGATAACCATTGGATTTGTAAACCATGGAATTTGGCTAGATCTTTGGATATGCATATAACAAAAGACATTAATTATGTAGTAAGATTAGCTGATTCAAGTCCTAAGGTATATATAGATTCCAATGTGAAGTGTTTTCGGAGAACCTTACTAAAGATATGATAGAACTGTGAAGAAATTGGTCTACTAACTTCCTAATTTAGATTTACCAATTCTCTTGCCCCTTGCCAACAGAAAATCTCCAGGAATCCTTATTGTCTTCTGCCATGGAAATTAATTTCCCTTGATATGTCCTGATTATTCCATTCTGACAGAATTAGAAAATGATAAAGTTTATAAAACCATAATGCGAAAATAATTTTTTAAAAAAAGATTAAAAAAATGAGGCAAGATTCTCGGTGTCCAGTGTACGTCCATGATGAACATGCCATGAAGTATACAATGTGGGAAATATGAAATCTTGTAATAAATCATTAAAACTATAATATTATAATTGTAGGTAGCCTGTAAATATATTCATGATCCAGTTTTATTCTTTAGAGAAGATGTTGGTCAAGTGAAATTTGATTTTCGTTATATTGTTTTATTATCTGGTGTACAACCTCTCAAACTTTATGCTTATCAAGTATTCTGGCTTCGATTTGCTAACAGGTATTTTCTTATGATTAGGTTATAAATTATTGCTCAGTAGAAGTGAGTGTTAAAACAAAACAGAAAATATTGTTACTCAGATTTTCACCCTGACTTATTTCAGCCTGTGTCCCTACTGAAGTTTGACAACTAGTACTTGTTTTTGTGTTCGGATCGCTGTATATATAGTACCAGCAGAGTATTTGTCAGCCGATTCTAATTTGCTTGTTAACTGAAGTTCATGAACCCAGTTTTTTCCTGTTACCAATGAAATTCAAAAGGTGTTCTTGTCATTTCTCTCTCTACTATTTCTTGTATTCAATTATTCTGATTTTAATATTTCAGATCCTACTCTTTAGATAATTTTGATGATTATGAAAAACATTATACTGTAATGAATTATGATGACGATGCAGATTTAAAACAGGTGTGAGAAAGTCTTTAACATTGACTGTTTAAATTGAATGCATTCATGTTATAATTTATAGCTCATAGGGTGACCTAATAGTAGACACTAAACTTACTTTAGAAAGCATTGGCCATGGAATTAAAAGAGATCATGATGGGAAAGTCCACCTTTGATCATTTATCACCTAGCAATGAGACTGACATCCAAACTGAAATCCTAGAAAATGAATTAATTAGAAAGAGTTACAGTTCTCTACTCTATGTAAGACCACATCATTGCCAGTATCCTGCACTATTTTATATGTTTTCAATATTTCAGATCCATTATGATGAATTTATACCTATGTTTAATGAACAATATTCAATGTATCCATGGGAAGATATACAGGTATAATATGTTATTTTGCAATTATCTTTTAAATTCTTTTCATGAAATTTAAAACATGAATTTTAAACACAATATGTAACATGTTAAAGGGATATTTTGCCATTCCTGTTGATAAAGCTTAATTTCATCATACAATTAAACAAATATACTGTTTAATATAAAACTAGACCTGTGCACTACTAACTTATATCTGATTTCTAGGATTATAGCTATCAAAGAATTGGTTGATTTGTATTTCAGAAAGATGTATTTAAAATGATGAGAGAATTATTTGAGGCTGGTAGTAATAGTCCTGCCCCACGTGGTATTCAACCTTCACCCCAATCCAAGGCTATGTATGCATTAGATATGATGTTAAGTTGGGAAGTTAATGAACAAGGTAGGTAATTAATTAAGCTCTGTGTTAATTAGCTGATATGTTTTAGGCATTGTATACCACATTGTTTTCACACTTGACACTTCCACCTGTAACCCTAATTACATGTGTGAGTGGGTGCACTGTTTGTCAAAAAAGTTCATTTCCCTTGTGTATTCAATATCTAAAGTCAGTAGTGATATAGAAGGGATTATTGCTTTTATCTTATACTTATATATTGTTAAATTTCCAAAATTAAAATTTTTGGGCCCATGAAATCTTAGATGCTCTTTATTGTAAAGACAAGACAATTTTTTTATCTTTTGACCAAAGACATTAATTTGCTTTAAAAAAACTGTTCCTCATTGTGCACTGCATTGCGTCTTTATCATCTTAATCTGCAATAGAAAAGTTTTTGCATTTTATTTGAAATTTTATGTGTAAAAACATTCATTTTTATGTTTTAGGTGAAAAGTATGTACAACCTCAAATATGTGAAGTAAATTATGCACCAGATTGTGATAGAGCTTGTTTATATCATCCTTTCTTTATTAATGATGTTTTCAGTGTTTTATTTTTAAATGAAACTGAAAATAAACATGTTATTTCAATTTAATATAATACTTTGTTTTTGTATGAAAACTACAATATCTATTTAAGAAGGTTGTCCCATGAGGAATAGGAGAAATCAGCTTAGCGGTGATATGCTAAAAAAGAACACATCCTAAAGTTTATGCAAAATTACCTGGGGCAGATGACATAGATGACTGTTTGGGTCTGATGAGTGGAAGCAAATTTTCGACAACGGCCAACAACTTGCAGCTTCTTGGAGAATGTGATCAGTCATTGGATTTAGTTGTCCCACTGATCGTCGTGAGGATCAAGTTGATTGTAGTTTTCAGAAATTAATTTGTCGACAAAACATGAACGGATTCGTTAAGATCCTGTACCCTCTTGTCAAATTATTCCAAATTGCTTTTTTTCTAGCTTTTCAAATCTCACCAGAAAAGTAATACCGAAAGAAGCAAAGGTTATCCAAAACTTTCCGTTCCTGGTTAACTGATCCATTTCCAATCTAAATATTCGGAAAGTTGGACAATTTTACAGTTAGAACTACTATACTGCTGAACGTGGTCATATAGCTTTCTGTAAACCCGTCAAACGTTTTCTGACTCTTGTCTTCTTCATTCATATTCCACAGAGGCCATTTAAACCCCCAGAAGTCTATATTGGTCATGGATGCCCTGAATTATCTGTAAATAAACTCAAATTATAAATATATCAAATTTAATTCTATCACTTGATGAGTTTCGTGACGTCCAGTTATCTAATAAAGGATCAAAACAAGATGGAACCCGAGAGTTTTTCATTAGCAAGAAGATACCTGATATAGGTTTATTATGTTGTTTGCCACATAAGGGTTTGTAACCACGGTAACGTTATCATTATAAAACGCATGATCTGTTTGGCTGTCGTCACTCGCGGCGAAAACTTTCACAGTTTAGGCAGAATAGAGCTTTTTTTACTGATATAATCATTCTAACATCCTTTGAAGTTTAGAGATAGAGAAAAAGGTATGGAGATTTTTTTTATATACAAATGAAATTTCTCGCAATTTTTTAATGTTTCATTAAGTATGAATTTATTTAAATTCAAATAGAATGAGCTCAGCGATAGACAAGACGTTTGCTTAAACAATATAATTTTTAATTTTTATCTATTTTATGTTTATTCATTTTCTAATATCTATTCAATGTATAATATCTATTCATTTTATAATATCTATTCATTTTATAATATCTATTCATTTTATAATATCTATTTATTTCATAACATTTATTTATTTTATCCATTTTTTTAAATCATACAGTGAAAAATATTTTCCGACCTTTTCTTGAAAGACCTTTTGTGTATTTCAGCAATGTCTTGGGGTAATGTATTCTTGTTGATTCCATTGCTTGCTATCTTATCATGTCCAGATGTACAATGTTATAACGACACTCAACTCTGTTCAGGAGAGGCCTGGTCCTGCCAGAATACATGTGGATCTAGTGAAACTGCACCATGTTCTTGTCATCCAAGTTGTACGAATTATCAGATATGTTGTGAAGATTATGAAGAATTTTGTGTTGATTCTAATGAAGAGAATGCCACAGATCACCAGCGACAGGGATACTGTTCTAGCATGTTAGATGTATGGCTGGTGGAAGGATGTGTTAATAATGATAATCATAGATATTATGACCGATGTATAACACCCAATAACACTATTCTATATGATATAACACCCGTTACCAACTTACAAACCAAAGTTCATTATAAAAACCGTTATTGTGCTCTATGTAATAATGATAATGATACCACATCTTGGTCAGTTGACGAAATATGCACCAACATTACCGATTTCCATCATTATTTTAACCTATGTATCTCCCAAATGAAGAATCCTATAGATCAAAACCCTGCTTTATGCCTAGCGGAAAGTATATCTACATATAACAAATCAAAAGCCTTGGAAAATGGATTATCGGAACAGGAAATACAAGATTTGGAAGACAAGTGTAATTCATTTACATCATATGTTACAGATGGTCGTACTGATAATGTTTATAAGAACCGTTATTGTTATCTTTTGAACGGACACAATGAGACGCATTGTAGCCCCACAATGTTTGACAAATTTGATGTCTATTGTGTGAAACATAGACATCAATTAAACCAATGCATGAAAGATGCCTGTGCTCAAGATAAAGGTTTCCAGATAAAGTATTGCTCTAAGGAAACATTTCGATTGTCTATGCAAATTGTGTTTGAGAAACGAGACACACGTGAATTAAATATTATTGGTGATGAGGAACAACTATTGATGGATAACAGTCAACTATTAAATGATGGGATTCTAAATGCTTATGAAAATGATGTCAATACCACAATATCGTGTAATGTTCAAAGTACCAAAAGCCGTAAGGATGGTTTTATAGCAACTTTCAACTCAGTTTTAAACTGTAAAATTGGTGACAGAGTAGATGAGTCTCTATTTACAGAGGATATATTAAATATTATCCCGAGCGGCGTGAAGTCCATAGATGATCAAATCAAGCTACCTATGAAAGTTGAAATATCTGCCTGTATAATTCGGACCACCATTTTCCGGCGAACAGAATTTACCTGTAGTAGAACTAATTTTAATATTTCAGTGATTAATGTTGTTCGACAAACGTCATCTGATATCGAAGAATATATTTCTACAATTTTCTGTGCTCTGTCAGATATTGGTCTTCTTTGCAGAATTTTCCTTCAATTTGCGGTGCCTTATTTTCAAACATTGCCTGGTAAAGTCCAATTTTGTTTGTGCTGCACACTGTTTGTTGCTTACACAAGTTTTCTTTTAGCTGGTGTTTTCCAAATAGGAACTTTCCCGTGCTATATTGCAGCAGTATTTACCCATTGGAGCTTTTTGTCCTCTTTGTTTTGGATGAATGTAATTGCTTTCCAGATTTGGCATACGTTTAGAGTTTGGCATAATCAGGTATCTGAAAGGTGTATCAGAACGCTAATCGTTTCTAGCTTGTATGCTATGGGTGCACCAACTATTTTAGTCGGCTCCGCGCTTTCAATTGAATTTTTTTATCCACAAAACTCATTCAGTCCGGCTTATGGCAAATATTCCTGTTGGATGAATAAATCGTACAGCGTCTTAACATGGTTTGTAATTCCTTGCTGTACACTGTCATTTGTTAATACAGTTTTTGCTTTGTTGACTGTTCGTGGATTGCGAGTTCAGAGAATGATAGACAAATCGCCAGTTAGTAAGATTGCCCCTGTTAATGATTTCGCTGTATCTGTTAGGATTGTAATTCTAGTAGGGGTCACCTGGTTGCTGGGTCTCTTTGCTGCATTTTTGGGATCCCCAGTTACATGGATGATTTTCACGCTCTTCAATGCATCTCTTGGGTTTCTTATTAGTCTTGTGTTGCTGTGTAACAGGCGTATATTTGGTTTACTCAAAGATAAATGTTTATGTCCAGTAAGGGAGACGTTCAACAGTATTACTCTTAATACTTCAAGACAAGCATAATTATTTAGTCAGACAGCTAATTATAAACAATTAATGACCAACTAACTTAGCCATGATTTGGATCATAAGCTACTTTGCGTGAAAATATTAGAAATCATGACAAAGAATGGTCTTATTCAATATGAAATATAAATAACCATCATGATAAGTTGTTTTTGTTAGGGCTATATCCGTTTGTATCCTTAGGATTGGGCTCATCAAAGATTTTGAAGCTTAGGGTGTCAGGAGTAGCTTGTTCTTTTCCCTACAACATGTGAAGGGGTAATATGGATATATATTCAACTATCCTGAACTCACGATAATGGCAGAATGTCCTTATATCATAGTCATTATATCTATATGGCTCTACATTTGATATATCGAGCACTATTTTAACAGTGAGAATTCTTTGTTATAGTTATTATATTATATAGTTACTCTTTTGTTTGAATAATTTTTTGTTTGTTTGTTAAATTAAAAGTTTATTAACCAATTTATTTTGCCTGGGACAAAGTACTTGTCCATGTTAAGTTTATTATTTATTATGTAATCATGTATTACAAAATTGTAGTAAACTCCGTAGATTATGATAATATCTTTATTTGAATTCCATTAATTGGAAACATATCAACACAATATTACAATAATATTATTGTATTTATAGATATTTCATTTCGATTTTTTATTTGGGAATCCATTATGAGTGAAATCACTTACAGGATATACATGTACTTAGATTTTCATTACATTGCAAACTGGCAAAAAAATAGGCTTGTGAGGCCACGTGTCTTACTGCATTACAACATTATTAATTTAAATTGCTCTCTTGAATCTATTGATGGATTGCTTATTTCATGATTATTATTAATAGAAATGCATAGACAGCTATACCAAAAGATTTCAGGGGCCACAACCCGAAGTTACCAAAGTTTCAAAGTGTTACAAATAGTAAGTCTAACCCACTGGTTGATGAACTGACCGAAACACGGGTTGCGCACCTTTTTCCTTATTCCATTATTATTTATTGTTTTCCAGAAAAAAACCCAGCAAGCAAGTCCTTGACGACTAATAATGATATAACATTTTCCCTCGCGCTTTCATGGTATCTAGAACTTTTTACCTCGTAAAATCCCTCGGGATGTGAGATTTTAGATATCATCAAAACCCTCTGCCGTCTTTTATCCTATACAAAAATGATCACCATAATTTTTTCAGGAGAGCGACAAAAATATATCATCATGAATGAATTGGTTTCTTGACTCAAATAAGGTGCCGAAATCAAATCCATTTGAGACAAAATATTACATACAGGTACAGATCAGGAACAACAACTTTGACCTATGATTGTTCTTCCTTAAGACTGTGCCTATATTCTGTATACGATAAATCTTGTATAGCAGTGCTAGTAGTAGGCCACTATTTACATTTCAAAACCTTTCACATTTGACATGTTATAGCAGACGGTAGAATTTGATTTCGCGAGGTATTGGCAATGTGCCAGATTCTATATTGGTGTATAGGTAATATATTGAGTATAGGTAGAATCCTACCTGGTTACTTGCCATATGGTTTTCTTGGTTATCATTCACTTCCTTCGTTCAATACAAGATGGCGTCAGTTTAACTAGAATAGATGTCTGAGGAAAATGGTGAATAAAGAGGAAGAGGTTTAATTGAAGCATATCTGTACATTACAAATCAAAACTTGATATGAATAGTTCGACAGGATTAGCAGAAACGTCGCCAACGGGAAGCGGCTCCACTCTCAGACCGTACCTTCGAAGAAAAAAATCTTCACTTGGGGAAACCAAAATAGCCGTAGTGGGAGCATCAGGTGTAGGGAAAAGTGGTAAGTGTTAATCCATTATGTCATTCTATGATTATGACACGTTAAAATTAGCAATTAGTTGATAGAGTATCTAAACTGATAGTTCGTCCACTTCGACCTTCATTAATTAGTAGGCAATACAAAAAATCATTCTGTTACGTCGGATTGTATATACCTGCTAATTGCAATGTTAAATTCAGTTATCTGCATGGAAGCGGTCAGAAGATCTCTACTGTGTTGATCTCAAATTTCATATTACAACTGTAATATATATAACATATGTTACCTCAGGTCTGAAGGTTTTAACATTATTTCAGTGTATCACATCATTGTGAAGAGTGTACATTGAAATATTGTTAAGAACCTTAAAGGATTTACCATATCTGTTTGTTGTGGACGTAATTTTTTTTCAAAAAGCCAGAATGGTGTGAATAATATTGAAATCCCTTGTTTAGATACAGTGTAGGCCTATGTAATGGGGTTTATTAAATTCAAGAAACAAAATAATACAATAATCAGTAAAACATAAAAAAAAAATGTTTTGATGAATTCTAAAGGCACTTTTGAACCAAGATCCTATGACGTTTACTTAATAACAAATACAGATGCAAACGATTGCCAAGTGTAGTATGTCCAGTATGACTAGATTTCAAAGTTCATCAATTTACGTTAACTATATTCGGGGGAGAAGATAACTATGTTTTGTCATATATTATTTCATACAAGTATGGTGCCACTTAAAACAAACCTGTCCTGTTAGATCTACTAACTCTTCGTATTATCGAAACAGTCCAATATCTTTAAAAATTACAACCTCTTTACAACCTCTGATAGGCTGTATACACAAGTGTAGCTTAAAATCCAATCAAATCGCTGCATTTTGTGATACATTGCTATTGCAGTCAAGGTATGAGACGAAGTTCGCAATTGGTTGATATTGTGAAATTGACAACAGATATAATGTAATGTTTATCGTAGTATCCCGATTTTTATATGGAGCCCTTTATATAGATGTAAAATAGATAATTGACTTAAAATTATAGATACCAGATTTAAAGAAATATACTGAAAACATGTGGTTCCAATCATTTTCTTATAAACATTGATAGTATTTTTGATAAAACATAATTAAATCTTATCAACTACTATATAGTATATTTGACTAGTGCAAAGCATAGATCTATATACGGGTAACTGGTATTTATCATACATAGAAAGCGAACTATAGTCATCTAAATATTTGCTTTCTCAATTGAAAGGGCTCCCGCTCTGGCTTCAAGCAATACTTTCAGAATTCTGAAGCCTGTTTTATTTTTACATTGGAAGAAATACGTTATGAACTTTCAGCACGTCTGACATATTCTGCGGAATATTAATATAGAAACCCTTATGACTGCTGGAATCCATCGTTTTTAACGTCTTGATCCAATGGCCACTCCATCATAAACAATCATCTTCTCGCGGGTCCCATCTGTCCTCTAGGGTAGCTTTGAGAACTCAAAAAACATCAAAAGATCACTGATTATAATATTCAGTTGTCGATACAAGAACTTGTTTTGATTGGTACAATCCTACCGGAATTTTCTACTAAAGATAGCATAAGAGCAGAATGTTAGATAAGAAATAACAAGACAGGAAGATAGATATAAATCATGGCAATAAATAAGTATAAACAATATATAAAATACTGTATTGTTATCATTGTTATAAAGTGTAGGTTACTAGGTTGATGTTATTAAGATAAACTAATTTCTGATCAGTTGGAAAATTTGCTTTTTATCATACGTGTATATAAACTAATAAGTTACTTTAATCTTTCTAAATAACGACCATCTGTTGAAACAATTTAATCTTTTAAATGTGCCAAATATAAAAACTGGGTTTATTTTCTGTTAAATTCAACCGAATTTGAATGGTTGGGTCTTTGTCCTACGTACCAAAATAACAAGCTAATAGTATTTAATTTGGTTTCCCCAAAGTCGGTCGGATTGGACAATAATCGAGACCCAGTGTGTTGTAAGAAGGTGTAAGTTCGTGTTCCCTGGACAGTTTTCACCGAAAAGAAGGAAAATAATCAGCGCTTCTTATCATTTTTTGCGTCAACTACGACTTTACTTAGAGTTTGTACTCGAGTCGACTTCTTTCCAATGATCCGAAAATAACTTTGGTAGACTTTATATACCATTTGAAACATACCTGATGTGCCTTAAGAGGATATGTTTCGGATAATCACAATGTATTTCTTACTATAACGTATGATTATAGCTGCATTGTTCTTCGGATTATTCTGCTATTACAAATCTTACTGTACATTTTCAGGACTATACTGTTAATTATTTTGGCTTTTTTTCAGCATTGGCAGTAAGATTTTTAACAAAAAGATTCATTGGTGAATACGATCAATCTAATGGTAAGATATATAATATCGTTGTACATGTTTTATTATATAATATTTGAAAGATAAAAAATACTTACTATAATTTTTTTCTCCCAAAATATTATTCAACGTCGCATTTGAGGCGTTTTTCACTTAGATTTCATCTTCGAGTGTAGACCACTATCTTCTGTCTCTTGCTGTCCCTTTGACCAATTTCCGTCAGTCACATTTTTCAATATTCCCGATAAGAGCGTAGATTCTTTATTTCAGATGCCAAATATAAATGTACAACCAATATTGATGGTGAAACTGTTGCCTTCGAGTTATTAGATACCAGATGCAATGTAAGTTATGTTTCTCTTAAAGGGACAGTTAGGCCATTTTTTTTTTTGACTAATCATACTTTAGTCTCAGAAACTGGAATTTTTTAGTCGAGCTAATCTTTAATAGTGTTCAGAGCTCACCATCAAAATTTGAGCCTTTAAATCCAAGTGTGTTTATAATTATCTGCGTTTGAATGTTGAAATAACGACTCGTCAATTTAAGATAATCTGTGATATACAGATAGACATATATAGAAATAGTGAATAAAATTCCTAGTTTGAAGTATTTTTAACGAATTATGTGATATTCGTACATTTCTAGTACATCTGCAGACTATTTACATATATTCAAGACTAAATTCCAACCCCACAAAATAGCCCTTGTCCCTTTAATGAATATTCCAAGATTTAGTTCATAATGATAGGCCTAATGGTGATCTAATTTAAAACACGCATGTTATATTTGTAATATAATGCAAAAATGGATTATCTTCAAACCGCTACCGCTAACAGAATGATAGAGTCATAATGATTTGATTAAAGTTGTTTTAGAATATATTTTAAGAACTGTACGGTGTTGGATATATAACGGAAAAAAAATTAACAAGAAATCTCAGATTTTTCAATAATGATGAATGTAACTGAACTGTACAGTGACAAGTTTTTAAAACCGATTTAACTGTCTTGTATAAAAAATGATGCCCGTAATAAAAAATAACCAAACTCTCTTGTATAAAGAATGATACCCGTAATAAAAATGACCAAACTTTCTTGTATAAAGAATGATGCCCGTAATAAAAATGACCAAACTTTCTTGTATAAAGAATGATACCCGTAATAAAAATAACCAAACTTTCTTGTATAAAGAATGATGTCCGTAATAAAAAAGACAAAATTTTCTTGTATAAAGAATGATGCCCGTAATAAAAATGACCAAACTTTCTTGTATAAAGAATGATACCCGTAATAAAAATAACCAAACTTTCTTGTATAAAGAATGATGCCCGTAATGAAAATGACCAAACTCTCTTGTATAAAAAAATGATGTCCGTAATAAAAAAGACCAAATTTTCTTGTATAAAGAATGATGCCCGTAATTAAAATGACCAAACTTTCTTGTATAAAGAATGATACCCGTAATAAAAAAATAATTGAACTGATGTGTATAGCGAATATTGCCCGTAATTAAGATAATTGAACTGTCGTGTATAGCGAATGATGCCCGTAATCAAAACTAATTTGACTCTTTTGTACGTAATTGAAATGATTATAATAATAATGAATGGTATTGAAATAATAATGATCCAACTATGTGGTTGAATCGGCTTGTATAGAAAAATGATACCCGTAATGAAAATAATTAAATTGTTATGTATAAAAATGATGCCCGTAATGAAAATTATTAAATGTTTTGTATTCCAGAATGATGATAATGGGACAAGAGATGATGTATTAAGATGGGCTGATGGGTTTATGTTAGTTTATTCGGTGACTAGTAGAAAATCATTTGATGCTCTGACAGAGATACAGAAGAAGATAGAAGAAACCAAGAAAGCCGGTCATGTTCCAATCAGTGTCGTAGGAAATAAGTCAGATTTAGCTCATATCCGCCAGGTAACACAAGATGAAGGTAAGATTCTTCGAATCCATAACGCATCTCTTCTATTTGAGAATTTCATATCGCTAGAATAATGGTACGAGACTAGAATGACAATGTAGAGAAATGGTGATTGTTATTTGCATTTAACAGTTTTAACCAATGTAAGTGATAGTAATCTATTTGAAAATTACCAGTTACCAGAAAGATCAAAGAGTAGAGAAGTACATGTATTGAGATATTGATATTTTGTATTTCAAGGATCCAAATTGGCTACTGAGTTTGGTTGTTCATTTCAAGAAGTTTCAGCTTCAGAAGATGTGGTTGCTGTCACAGAAGCTTTTCATGTGTTATGTAAGGAAGTTGTAGAGTTTAAAAGAAGATCTAGAACTTTTCTGGATAGGGTTTTCGGTCTGAAAAAATCATGATATATTCATTGAGTTTAAACACGAAATACAGGCGCATAATGGCATTTACATGGATGCGTCTTTGATCATTCAAGAAGGCGCCATTGCATATCCCCGAATTGAAATAGAGGAGCTCATTTCCCCATTCAGTTATAGGAGACATTAAAAGTAGGATTTAGTACTTAACTGCTTTAGTTGGTTTTTAATCTTCTAAAATCATTTTCACTGACGATGCCTAAGAAATATGGCCGAGGTGTTCTTTGTAAAATAATTGTGTACATACAAGTTTTTGTATATTAATATAATATTGTATATTTTGCTTTGTAGAAACCATTGCCTTATTAAAATGAGAATATTTTTTTCAAAAGCTAATATATTGTTCTTGTTATTCTGCTAAGAGAAATTCATTATAGTATATAAAGATATCGTGGACTACATATCATATCCATACTTAAGATGGATGTACCTTTAAACATTGGATCACTTGAGTTTTAATTCCCACTTTGTTGTGGGAACTATATGAAGGTTTGTTACCAGGAATTATATAAATATAGTACACACTTCTTTACACAAATGATACGAGGATGTCAGTTGTCTGAATATTTCAGCATGTTTCAGGTTCTATGATTTATTGAGCGCTATTTAATTATTTTTTAATATTTTGTCATTATATTAAAATGCACAAAGAGATCTGAAATGTACGAAAGCCGGGTCAGGACTTCCAACTTCCGACTTCCAATTTTTTTTTTTCACTTCCGATTTCCAAGTTTTTTCCGCCAGCGAACTGGTAAGTAAGCCTACGCTTTTGTGATCATATCCAATGTTTTGAGTTCTTTTTTATATAAAGCCCACTTTCTAATTGGGACATATATTGTCGGCACAATTAACAGTTCAATTTTTTGACAAAAGATGAAGAATTTCAACCCTTGATACATGGATATTATGTTAATTGATAGAAGTCACAGTTGTCATCTGATCTCAATAAAATTTGGTTTAATTTATATCTAAGAGTCCTTAGACACGTTCAAATTAAGGTATGATTCAACAGAGGATAACAGAGTTTCACAACTGGTCCGCTATGCTAGAGCTTGTTCTCTTTATAAGGACTTTCTGGCAAGAGGTCGAATATTAACCGTGAAATTACTGAAACAGGGTTACTTGACACAAAAACTTGAAATTTCTTGTAGAAAATTTTATGGTCGTTACGGAGAACTCCTTGTCAAATATGACAAATCTGCTTCTTGCATTTTGGCAGATTTGTTTAGTCAGGCATGAACTGATCTCGTTGCACCTCATGATTTTGACCTTTATAGTAGTGGCGGGTGTCGCGTGCGAAACAAACCATGCTTACTCTTTTCGGATTTGTTGGGCTGCTGGCAAACGAACAATAGAGGGTCTAATTTCTCACTTAAAGCTATCATGCTGTGATTATGCTTATCATATTACAATGTACAATATTATTTGATGTCTTTGTATCCTTTTTCTCTAGGTATAACTTTACGTTCTCTTGGAGACCTTGCCAAGTAATAACCCTGTACAACTAGAAAGTCTTTCCAGAGAGGAGCTCATTGGTGTATATTTTACAAAGAACTTTTCCTATCAAGAAATTTCAACAACGCTTTTACTTCGGTATACAATTAAGCGTGAGACACCTGATGCGGATACTCAGAACTTTGGGTCTACGTAGAAAACATATTTGTGAAGCCAGTCCTTTAAAAGATGTTGTCCACGCCGTGAAGAAAGAATTGAATGGGAGTGGAAGTTCTCTCGGATACAAAGGTATCTGGAGAAAAATAACCTGAATCCACAGGTTAACTGTTAAGAGAGATACTATTCTTGACATTCTTCGCCTGTTGGATCCTTCAGGAAATGACAGGAGAAACGCTCATCGCTTAATTAGAAGAAAATACTCGTCACCTGGTCCTAACTTTATATCATGGCATATCGATGGGTATGATAAGTTAAAACCTTTCGGATTTGCTATGGAGCTATAGTTATAGTCGGAAAGTCCTCTGGCTTGAAGTTAGTTACACCAAAAACGACCCTGCAGTAGTATAGGGTCTTACTACCTAGCGTGTCAAAGAAATAGGTTACATTCCAAGGGTTGTTAGATGCGATCCAGGTACAGAAAACACCCTAATAAGGTGCATGCGACAATTTTTTAGGAGAAATTCTGACGATGAATTGTCTGGCATCAGATGTTTCCGCCAAGGTAAAAGTACAGCAAATCCACGAATTGAGGCCTGGTGGTCTATCTTAAGAAAACAAGGCACAGACTGGTGGATAGCCTTCTTCAAATACGTGTGAGATTCTGGAATCATGCATGAGGATCATTTCTTACACACAGCATGTCTACGGTTTTGCTTTAGGCATTTACTGCAAGCAAAAATACACATGCTTGCCACCCAGTGGAATTTACACGTAATAAATACTAAAAGGAATGCTGAAGGTGACAGTGGAAAACCTGATTTTATGTTCTACAACCCAGAAGTAAATGGTACCCATAACTATGGTGTACAAATTGACCTAGAAGACGTAATAGCCTGTCACAACCAATGTGCACAACATGATCGATTCGGATGCTCTTTGACTTTCTGGAACTGGTCAAATTATTACTTCCAAACATACATGTTTATAATAATGAATAATAACGTGAATAATAATAAAACACAAAATACAAACAAATGCTCACCGAACAGTAAATAAAAGTTCTTTTGCTGTAAATCTTTTTATGGGACTATAACATAAACATTTCTTTAACACCAGTCTGCCACTGGCTTGAGGCTGAGGTAGAGAGATATGTTACGGCAGTTGGTAGATGTTGATCCTTCATGTTTCTTTTGATGAAAGACAAGAGATCAATATCACCATCCAAACTTACATGAAAATTGATTGCCTTTAAAGTGCCGTTTTACTGTCAATTTTACCAGTGTTGTGATAATGAAGAGAATGTTCCCTTTATCTACGAAATAGTCATCAAAGGGCAATAACTCCCGAAGTGAAAAAAACTTGGAAGTCGGAAATCGTGAGTGAAAAAAAAACTTGAAAGTCGGAAGTTGGAAGTCCTGACCCGGTTTTCGTAGAAATGGCCTATATATTTCAAACATGAAAATGCAAATGAATATGTACATGTACATATATCATATTATATATTATTTACAAAGTAAACCGTTTCTTTGTAGAGGGTCAAATTTACTAAAAATGTCAGTTCAGATCAAATCATTTTCTCACAAAATATCACAGAGCACAACGTTTATGGATAATATTTGGTCCATGTTCCTCGTATTCTTGTTTAGTTATCCACATTTGACGAAATGTTGTCATTGAACCTAAAATTGATCCTCCTATCCAAACGTGGTATTGTCTTTCTGGGGATGCTATTACTTTGGTTCTTCTTTTCGGAATAAGTTCGTCTAACTCCTTCAGAAGCCTTTCATGGAAGCCTACAATAGAATATAGGTGACATAGTGGTTGATAATGTAACATTTCCAAACTGCATTCTGAGACAGCGTCCGAAACTATCCTTGGTAATTTAAATTGTGCTGCATATCCTTTATCATAAATGTTTACCATTTATTAGTGTCAGAACGGCTATATAGTGATGGTATTGATTGTATTGTATTATTTTGCAGAAGTGTAGAATCAGGTGTTGGATTTTACTTTGAAACGGGACACAGATAGCTGACTGCTGATAACTTTATTATTTAGTAAATTAAAATATAGTTAGACAGCTGTATTCCCTTATGGCACAGTTCGACTGCTTTCTGTCAAAAACCATCCAATTACGTTCCATAATATAGTACTATGTTAACTATTAGATAACGTTAAAAAAACTGTCTAAGAAGAAAAATACCTACCAGGTAACAAAGTTGTACCACCCGATAAAATAACATTACAAAAAAGATCAAGTCGAGCATCAATATCACTATCCATTAACGATTGGTATATCAAATCTACTAAACCCTTTTCTTGATGTCCTTAAATGTAAATGTATAAACACTGAATATTTTGTGGAATAAACAGTATCGTGTATCCCCAAAAACCTGTACTCGCCCAATCATCGTTTGTTGATGCATATTTGCAAACTTTCTTGCAACTGAATCTTTTTCGTTGAATCTGCGGTGGGTCATCCAAATATAGGTGGTTGACACTTGATTCTCATTTTGTTAGCTATAATCGATGTGAAGATTTGGTACACCAAAGGCATACGACACATGAAATCTGCCAAAGAAATTTAATTTACCAAACAAATGAGGTTGAAATAAAGTTTCAGGACAAGCTATTCTTTCATTATCCAGGGTAATTTTAGTCCCATCCGGTAATTCATAACTCTTCTCTTTACAGGCTGTCGGATCTAACATTTCCTGTTCATAATCTGATGCTACATAACAACATTGTTCTTTTATATCACGTACTATCTCTTGTTCACCTATAATTTCAATAAGAAGATACACTATTTATAGAAATATTCATTTCCGTATCCCCATAAACGTAATTATTTTGCAACATCGTCTAATAGTAATCTTAATTGTGTTTGATAGCACGCTTAAATTAGTCAAGAAATCATTATGTACATTATGATATGGCACTATTTTGTTTTCGAATCGTTTTTTATTGGTGAACATACCATTGATGACAGGCATTAATCCCCACCATACCTGAAGTACGAAAGCCTTAAAAATGTACCTGTCCTGTGAATTGAAATGGAAAAAATGAATATTTACGGTAGGTACAGAAACTATAACCCTTGTGGTTCAGTAATTCTTGTAGATAATTAGTTAAGTCACGACCAGCGAAATCTCGTCTTTTAACAGCGGGTAGTATAGCATGACCTAAAATTAGAGTATAGCATTATGATCGTAGTTGTCTGAAAGGACACATCTTATGTATCTTAAATATGGTGGGGTCCTTAAGGAGCTATTGAGCTCAACAATAGAGTTTGCAAATATGGCTTGATTCATTTGGATTTCAACAAATTATTATAATCAACCAAAATCAATTGTTACTGCATGGCACAAATCTTGTAGAACCTTATTCTTAAATTTATTTTACCAGAAGTAAGCATAAGTATTAACAGACATTGCAGTATGTACACACAGGACATCATTTTCAAATACACTTTGTGACTGAATCTTTAACTAAAAGACATAAAGTTGGGTTTCCTTATTTTTTAGTGTCAAATTGAGCAAACTATTTGATTAATTGGTGTTTCTTATGAATTATCACGTATTCCTTATCATATCATTATGTTCTTATTGCATATACTTAAGAGTTTTAACAAATCATGGATGTCCATGCATGTTGAGTCTGGATAATCTAAAAAAGACTTGGAACACCTCTACTTTCTATTTATATAAGTATTAGCATTTTCATTTTCATAAATGCAAATAAGGGAACCCATCTTTAATTGCAATATGCAATTTTTGTAATGTAATTACCTTCATATATAGGCAGTATATGCGTTATACCCCCACCGACTTCTACCATGATGCTTGAAACTCTACCGCAACTGTATTGAGTTAATATTGATTGTAGTATCATATAATAAGCTGGTACTTCATATTTCTCAAACATATTCTATAATAATATAACATTAAACACAAAAGTTGTCTTGTAACTCAAACATTATCTATAATATCACATGAAGCTTAAACATTATCTATAATATAACATACAACTCAAACATTATCTATATTATAACATAAAACTCAAACATTATCTATAATATAACATACAACTGAAACATTATCTATGATATAACATAAAACTCACACAATATGTATAATACGACATAAAAGTTAAACATTATCTATGATATAACATGAACAAAAAATATTTTCTATATCGAAAAGAAAAGATTAATCATCTCCATAGCAAAAATATAAGGTGCTTCCGCATGTGATTCTATTCTATGACTTTTTTAGATACGTATATTTGAGACATCTTACCTGCGTCATAATTTCTCTGTTAGATTTGGGATTTAATGGAGGTTCGGTCACTAATATTGAATAGTCTGAAGGTGAAACTCTCAATTCTTTATTAAAAATATAATTTAGAAGAATTTCCATATCATCCCAGTTAGTTACAATACCATGTTCTATTGGATGAGTTATAGATAATGCTGCCTTTGTTTCTTGAACATCATACCCAACGTATGCTTCCTGTTTACCTGCAGACGCCTCATTCCCAGCCTGGAATGTCATTTCAAGCTTCATATAAAGAGCTTACAAAATCATATATATCTTCAAATGAATAAAAACCCTGTAGTTATAAAATGAGTACAACTATATTGAATCCATGAGCTGACCTATACTGACTCCATGAGCGGAACTATATTGAATCTACTATGGGCAGAACTATATTGAATCTATTAGCAGAACTATATTGAATCCATTGCAGGGCATTATTGAATCAAGGAGCAGAACTATACTGAATCCAATAACAGAATTATACTCAATTGATGAGCTACTAAATCCATGGGCAGAACTATACTGATCCTATGAGCGAGACTACATTGAATCCATGGGTGAATTATACTGAATCTATAAGCAGAACTATATTGAATCAATGAGTAGAATTTGATTATTGAATCAATGGGAAAAGATTGAAAATAAATTCTTTTCTTACAATTCTGTTTCTACCCACTACAGAAGAAAATACAGACTGGGGACCATCATCTCCAGCAAAGCCAGCTTTACACTTCGAAGATCCTAGATCTAAGACCAATGTTGATAATTCGTCTTCTCCAGTATACGATGGATCCCACATACTCTTTTCCCTTTCCAAACCAACACTGAGTTCACACCATTTTCAAAGCATATTGATAATTTTTCACTGAAATCGAATGATAGTGTGTGATTTTTTAAATAACAACATTACCATTTATGCTTGTGTATATCATATTTGGTGGAAATGGTCGCCCATATACTCTTCTTGGCCTATTAAAGTTATCCCGATAACAACACAGTATACTATATGAAAAAACAACTGATGTAGGCTTGTGATATAGGCCATTTGAACGCCTGAGTGATTTCTTAAAACAATGCTTACCTTGCACTTTAATGATAGAAAATGAAATATCCATCAAAACAGAGAGTAAAATCCTTGATAGTATACATTACATGTCAAGTAATATATAGGTCAAAGAATATGGGAAACCGAGTAAGCTAAAATAGACATTGTTGGCGATATCATCATACATTAAAATATCGGCAAAAAACAGTCATCCGATATTTTTATTTCAAATTTTGACCTCCAATATTAAAGTGATACTACGTCTTAGAATGAACATAAAACTGAAAAATTTTAAACTTGGCAAATAAGAGCACATATTCATCAGTAGATATACCTGGTGTCATAAATAACATCACAGGATCCTTATATAATCCGATAAATCCAAAAAACTTAGAAAGTATCCATAAATATGCTATTAACTATTGAAAAACGCTTAATTTCAAGATTAAGCGTTTTTCAATAATTACTTAGTTTTATGAATTTTCCAATTTTCCAGATTTTACAGGGATTCTGTTATAACTTTATGACACCAGGTAAGCTAACTGATATATACTCATATTGATTTCGAGAACTTAAATTAAACACGAACATTACTTGAACCAGTTTTAGTGAGGAAAAAAAAGTTGCAAGTTCTTTCAGTTTGTTCAGCGATCCCACCTAGATTATAGATCAGCGACCACATCTAGTTTGTACATCAGCGATCACTTCTATATCATATTCAGCGATCACACCTAGATTATGCATCAGCAATCACATCTAGTGTATACAGCAGCAATCATATCTTGACTATACATCAGCGATCATATCATACATCAGCGATCAAATCTAGATTATATATTGTGATCATACCCAGAGGCGGATTAACCTATAGGCAAACTAGGCCAATTATTGTCCTACTAAGAGCGTGATCTGTAAGAATGGACTAAATTGTTTGAGCCTAATGGTGATGAATGTCGATTGATGCTGAAGAGCTGATTGATTTGTTCCTGAAAAAAAAGATCGCAATCTTCCCGCCATAAAATTGTAATCACACCTTGCCCCCTCCCTAAAATGAGAAATTAGGCCCTCTACCGGTCATTTGCCTACGGCCAAACAGGTCCAACAGCACAACAGCAATCACATCTGATGTCACATCAGCAATCACATCTAGATGATATATCAGCGATCACATCTAAATAATACATCAGCGATAAAGTCTTAATTATACATCAGCAATAACATCAAGTTTATACATCAGCGATCACATTTAGATTTTTATCAGCGATCATAAATAAATTATACATCAGAGATCACATGAAGATGATTTATCAGCGATCACATCTAGATTATACATCAACGATTACATCTAAATTATACATCAGCCGTCACATCTAGATGCTATATCACATCTTATATATATACTATATATTATAAAAAAGAGATCACATCTAGATTGTGTATCAGCGCGTACATCTAGACTAGGACAACAGTGGTCACATCTAGATATACACCAGCGATCACATCTAGATATACATTAGCGATCACATCTAGATTATACATCAGCGATCACGTGTATATTATACATCAGAGATCGTATGAAGATTATACATCAGCGATAACATCTAAATTAAAGATCTAGATCTTGATTATATATCAGCATATACATCAACGATATCATCTTAATTATAGGTCAACGATCATTATCTATAGTTTAAACATCAAGGGTCACATCTAGATCATATACCAGCGATCACATCTAGATTATATATCAGCGATCACATATTGATAATACAACAGGTAGTCACATGTAAATTATACATCAACGACCACATCTCGATTATACATCTGCGATCACATTGAGATTATTCATCAGCGATCACATCTAAATTATGTACCGGCGATCACATTGAGACTATACATCAACGATCACATCTAGATTACGTCTAGATCGTGCATCAACGATCACAAATTGGAAATACATAAACGATCATATGTAGATCATAAATCCGCGATCATATCATTGATTATATATCAGCTATCACATCTAGATTATACATCAGCGATCACATCTACCTAGATTATATCAGCGATATCACATGTCTATAATAAAAAGGTCAGGAAACTTCCCGCAAGCGAAACGCTTAAATACTTTTTTCAATAATTACTTAATATGTATATATATCGTTTTATATAGAGATTCTATTCTTAAGTAATGTCCATTTTAAAAGGTAGTATACCTTTAAACAAAATTATAACAAAATATAGAAAATACTAGATAAGAATTTTAATAAATATATCCAAATATAACAAACGTAGAAAAATAAATATTATTCAATCGGTCATGCACAATAGCCATAACGAAATATTTGTAGCCTATCTACAGTTTAGTGTGTCTGTTTAATTATTATGCAGGATTTTCATTTTTATCAGAGTATATGTTAACAGAACGTAACGGACTTGCACATTATTAAGGCTTATTTATGTTTCCAAAAAAATATCATTTGGTCAACAGCTGATGGACAAATAGCAGTGGTGGGCTAAAAATATGCCTAGTTGGGACATTTTATTCCATTCTGATAAAATACATATCATAAGAATGTTCTCCTGTGAATTATATCTGGTCCGCATTCCCAATATTCTTCTTTGGTTATCCACTTCTCACTAAATGTACTTAATGACGCTAATAGAGACCCTCCAATCCAAACTGAGTGTTTTCTTTCAGGATTGCTTACTACTTTACAAATCATACGACTTGGTATTAATTTTTGTAATTCCTTTTGTAGTCTTTCGGTAAAACCTGAAACATTCAAGTCAATATAATAATGGAAGTTGATTTCCCATCAGAAAAAGATCAAAAGTTCATTTAAAAGAAGCTTGAAATTACGTTACCTTATATAAAAAGATCTTATAACCATTAAAATCTTTAATTCTGTAAGCATGTAAACGATTTTGAACGATTTCTGCGGAACATTGAGTTATTTAAAATCAGAATGCCACAATTTTTTTGACCTTGAGATTCATGTAGTTAGATGGTTTTAAACACATTTGTTCTTATTCTTCGTGTTTCAGTCCATAGATTTAGCACAGTCTTATTCCTTAAAAAAAATCCAGAAACACGTTCGGTTATATATAGCAAAAAGATATGGAAGTTGGCTTCTCTTCAATCTGAAAGTGAAATGTTGGTAAATTCTGGTCAATTCAACGAGAAAATTAATTCGGATAGTATTTTAGTATTATATTACTAAGAACTGTACCTGGTAACATTGTGGTTCCACCAGATATAATAATATTACAATAAAAATCTCTCCTCATATCAATATCACAGTCCATCAATGTTTCATATACAAGTTTATGTAGACCTTTCTCCTCTCGACCTGAATATATATCAGTTATAATTTTATAATAAATTATATTTAAGAACATGCATTATGAAGTTTCATTACTTAGGAAATTGAGTTTTTAGAATGTTAACAAGCGAAACTGGAGTGTGCTTAGAGGGAAAAGAGCAAATCGATTTGTATCTAAAATTCAAATGCATTCATTCTTTTTGGATAATAAGCAATTCCACACAGTAAAACCAGTTAAAATTATACTGAAAAGCATGTATACTGTGAATGTTTGATGGTTGCACATAAAAAATATATTGTTAATTTTATAAACTTATATCAGGTTCTTAAAGAGATAGTAAAGAGGACACTGATAGCATCTTTCAATCCGACACCTGTGGTCCGTGCTTTCCACCAAAACTATATGCGTTTTATGACATTACTATCGCTAAGGTCCTTATATATCAAAAACAGCTTTAGATGCCATCAATGTCCCATCGTGTCCAAACAACAACAATGTAAAACACGTGGGATACGATGTCAGTGTCCCCGGTGCACATACAAATTTTAGAAAACCTCTTTACATTCTCTTTAATGGTATCATACCGTATAATTCTGGTTGGAATAAAATCTCAGGACCCGCAATATTCTCGCTGTCAAGGGTTAGTTTGGTTCCATCAGGTAGTTCATAATTTTTATTATTTATAGGTAAGTATGGATCATTTATCTCCTGTTCATAATCTAATGCCACATGGCAACATTGTTCTTTTATATCTCGAACTATCTCAAATTCACCTAAAACATTAAATTTATATTAATTATTCTATTGATAAAAACTTGTTTAATGGTGTCGGCATATGAGTTGATGACGTAAAATCTATTCAAAAGCTCATCAGTGGCAGGGTGGGAGTAAAGGAATATGGATATTTGTCAAAGAAAATATATAAGATAGCTTGCCAGGCAAGGTAACATACGCCCACTGGCAGCTTTGATCATGAATAAAAATATTTAGCAGTACAGTAACAATCACCAGTATGAAATTTTCAACCTTCAGTCATACACGTCTTTTGAATTCTTTAGGGCGAGACTGAATAATATATTGAGTATGAGTTATTGCCCTTGTTCTTGAAAATATGTTCAATTTTTAACTTGTGAAAACCCTAGAAGGCAAATATTCAATCTTCAGCACGGTACTGAATAATAAAACCAAGTTTTGTCAGCAAGAATCATGTCTTTTAGTGTTTAAGAGCTAAAATTTGAAAGCGTTTTCAAGAACAAGGTCAATAACCATATTTATATTTTTTTTATTTTCGATAGGGTTCATCCATGGGTGATAATAAACAATTTCACCAAGTTTCGTCAAAATATGTCAAGAATTGAACCTTCTAGAATGTTTACAAGCTAAAAATTGAACGCGTTTTCAAGAACAAGGGCAATAACTCATACTAAACATTTTTCGATTTTTCTGATTTTCAATAGGCTTTATTCTTGGGTGATAATAAATGCTCAAGCCAAGTTTCGTCAAAATCCGTCAAGAATTGTGCCTTCTAGAGTGTTTACGAGCTAAAAATTGAACTCGTTTTCAAGAACAAGGGCAATAACTTATACTAAATATTTTTCGATTCTTCTGATTTTCAACAGGGTTCATCCTTGGGTAATGCAACCATTTGATTGGATTATAGGCTAGTGAATATGAGAGTCTGTAGAAAATCAGCCATTATGTTCACAGTCTTTCTGTCGAGGGCTCTGATTGGCTGTCATTCCATGAAACAAGAAAAGTTGCTATAGTCAAGGTATAAAAGCTTATCATAACTTGATATTGTGAAGATGTTGGAAAGCATAGGCGATCAAAGGATTCAACAGAGCTTTTCCACAAGGAAATATCATATCAAAAAATTATTTTTTAAAATTCAAAATTTCAAATAATAATATTAAAGGGACAGGTGTACCATTTTGGGGGGGTTGATTTGGGTCTTGAATATATGTAAATACTGTTCAGAAGTACTGGAAATGTACGAAAATTTTCTTGCAAAAATACCTCAAACTAGGAATTTCACTTTCTATTTCATGTATGTTTTTCTAAATATGGCAGAGCTCGAGAAATGATGAGTCGTCATTTTAACATTCAAACGCGGATAATTCATGTGTGTCACATGTATTTGAAATTTCGACGGTGAGATGTGGACACTATTACTGATTAGATTAGCTAAATAAAATTCCTGTTTCTGAGACTGAAATACAATTTGGTCAAACGGGTGGCGAGCCTTAATGGGTCACCTTCTGAAACGTTAACCAGAATTAGATGATTACATTCTACATAGAGTGCACATTCAGAATCACGAGAAGCAGCAATGTTGTATTAGAAGACTATAGGCCTATAATTAGCCAAACTGTAGCGCTGACTTCAATAAAATAGATATACAGGGTATGCTGGTATAGTTTCTATCAGTTATTAATATTTTAATAACACTATATGTTTATATACATACTATCCGTGGTAAGAGTATGCCCTCTTTTTAGAATGAGCTTTTGAAGATTGTGTGTTACATCTCTTCCAGCCAAATTCTGTCGTCGTATTGAATGAGGAATAGTGAATCCTAAAATAAACAAAAAGGGAAAACATCACCTCAATTCCATCTCATATCAACCATAAAATTTCCGATGACCACCGTGTTCATATAGTCAACACCATCTCCCTCCTCTCTTGAAATACTTCAGCACAGATCTTGGGCTGGTTAGCTTCATGGCATCATGATGGGGATTGAAGCTTTATTTATAATGATTGTAAGGTTAGACTGCCAAATACCTTGATATATTGGTATAACATGGGCAAGGCCTTCTCCACAGTCTACCATCAATCCGGTTCCTCGACCAGACGCTAAGGAAGATAATATCCCTGGGTTGGAAATATAAAATTTGGGTACGTCATACTTCTCGAACATAACCTGGAACAGATTAAGCGTATACACTGGTGTTGAACCATTGATTGTCGAGTTCAAAGATGGTTACATCCCTGTCGTCTAAATCAGTCAAGCTCAGAGTGGAAGAGGAATATGGAATTATTCACACAGACTGATTAGTGATCGAAATAGGACTGAAATGGATAACATAACATGATCTAAAAATATCTTCTACTCCACTATCATTTATGACCATTATTACTGTTACATTAAATTCATAATTGACAGCTGGAATATGGACTGAACATATTTCACTAATATCAGTTCTTATGGAAATTCTTTACTTGTAGCACACTCTACAATGTTTGTCATTGGACAGATAGGCCTATACTATAAAAGAATAAGATAAAGTCTAGTACCTGTGTCATGGTTGTCGCGTTAGATTTGGGATTTAGAGGAGGTTCTGTCATTAATACTGCTTGATCCGAAGGTGAAACTCTCAATTCTTTATTAAAAATATAATTTAGAAGAATTTCCATATCATCCCAGTTAGTTACAATACCATGTTCTGTTGGATGAGTTATAGATAATGATGCCTTTGCTGCCAAAACTTCATCTCCTATGTACAAGTCGCAATGTGTCGGCATCTACAATGAAAACCAATGATCAAGTTTAACAAATTATATATAGGAGCTTAAAATCCAGATATTGAAATATTTCGGATTATGAGGTGATTAAATAATTAGGCCTATATGGTACATGCTTAAGAATCATAAATCATAATTTTGTTTGCTATATCTAAGGAGCTGCAAAATAATGATAGTGACAAAATTAAAAACTTTAAATTTGTCTAAATTGAAAAACTGATAATTTTCTTTATTGATTTCATTCGTTTCAAACATGAAAAATACTATGATTATTACCACCGCTGGGGTAAATGACGGTCTCCCTATGAGACTAGGAAATATAGATCTTGGGGCAACATCCCCTGCAAAACCAGCCCTGACCATTGCAGAACCAATATCTAAAACTGCAGCAGGATTTTCTTCATCGTCACTCATACTGGATCATTAATCTTCTATAGCCTGTGCACTGAAATATCATAAACAAAACATAGAGTAAGCTAAGCATAGAATGCTATGCCACATGTACTGAAAACTAATTTTCCTTTGAATTCTAATACAGATGAAGATTGCACCACTCTTACAGTATCACTTCCTTGGCAAATTTATGGATTAAGACACGCAAGGTATAATATTAATATAAGGGGTAGGGATCGATACGTCGTCAGTTTATTGCCTCAATCCTAAAGCTCTAGCTTGCCTAATACTTTACAGAAAGATATATAATTATATACTAGGCTCTGATTCATCTTTAAGTAAATACTATCCTTGACTTTATTAAAGTAAACAGAACTGGAAGTCCCCTATAGTTATTTCATTTTTCATTTAAGTAACTATACTGACGAACTCGGCGACAAATTTTGATTTTAAATCTCTATACTATGTGGCTAAACTACAGTCTTACCTGCCCTTATTAGTGAATGATAAGAGAATGATATCCTTCTATGACTGACTTGAGATGAAAGATCGACAGCATCCAGAGAGGAGAAGAGCTAATAAAATTTGGTCGAGAGACTCGTCAACATAATAATTAATGACAACTTGAACACTTAACAGGCTACTATTACTGTAAGATGTTGGACGAAAACTATGTATAGTATACGTCTATATATAGGAAAGAATATACCTATCCTATAAAATACCGCTAGTGGATTTGTAGACCTATATGTCATTGCAATCACTATATATATTAGACTACCTCTTTATACTTACTTTACAGATATGAAATTAACAGTTCACAATTTCTATCAAACTGACAGTGACAGTCGGATCAGATGAGCACATAAACTCAATATTTACTAAATTGATCGTAACTCCATATAAGGAAATAATGTTGTGACTAAATAAAATACGTACAATGGTGTAACCTATTTTCGTGGATATAAGGATTCAACACCGTATTTCGTCAAAGTTAAAAAAACGAAAAAAAAAATTTATGTCTTAGATGTTTCCTCAGATATTCTACAAAATAATCAAAATTGGTTTATTTCGATTTTCTTTATGAATCCTTCACTTTCACCCATATTTCATTTCATTTCAATTTTATAAGGTAGCATCGACGTGTGACGTGTTTGACGTGTTGACTGACGTACTGACGTGTGACGGAGAAATAATTGGAAAAACACGTTGTATGGATACCGGGTGGTATAATTAACTTCTCTAAGTATTTATCTTTAATATCAATTCATTATAACTAGTGACAATTCCTTCAAAGAACCACGATTTTAAAAAAAAAAATAGTGACTGACAAAATATGATACGTAGCGTGATTTATTGCTAAAAGTCACTGAAACAACATAAGAATATGGTCCACTTTGTGTTCCATAGAAATTTTTCTGCTGACACAGAATCCGCTAGTTGATCACTTGACTTCATTCGTTGGAATATATTCTAGCAGACGACACTTGGAATTCCGATTACCGCTCGGGATTATAATGAAATTCGGCCGATAAAAAATGGTGACGTTTGGTAATAAGTGAAATCCGCAATTTTGTATTTGTCAAAGTATACATTAATACATTTTACCTTGCTTGAAATTATTGGATTCATTCTACTTGCTGACATTGTACAGAAAACCCATTTTTATTAAAATAAACTAATGCAGAGGTCGAGCAAGGTCGCTCATGTAAATTATTAATCATTTCCGAAAATCCACGAATAATAGGTTTCCACGAAATTAGGTTACTTGACTGTATTTGTCAAAGTATACATTAATACATTTTACCTTGCTTGAAACTACTGGATTCATTCTACTAGCTGATATTGTAGAGAAAACCCATGTTTATCAAATCAAACTAATGCGGAGGTCGCGCAAGGTTGCTCATGTAAATTATTAATCCTTTCCGGAAATCCACGAATAATAGGTTTTCACGAAATTAGGTTACTCGACTGTACCATGAATGGGATAAATAGGGCTCCAGAGTTAAGACTTTCCCACGCAGTAATTATCCCCGATAACTACGTCATTTTAGTTGGGTAAGGGGCCGAGCTTGGCAGGGGAGGGATGCACAGATGATTCTTTCACTATTAAAAATGAATAAAAAAAATAAAAGTGGGGGAGGGGGTCCAGCTTCTTTTCTGCCCAATCCAATCATTCTACATTTGGTCGATCCAGCTAGCTCTAGGTCTATTCGACCTAAGTTAGGTCGATTCAACCTACCGGAAGTTATTTTACAAGTTCAAATTAATGGGAATTTCCTAGAAAGAAGCGGGTGGACCTAATGATATGGATTTAAATCGGTTTAATTTGAACATATAACAACTAAGACTTAGCAAATTTACCATTCTTAAATTATAGGTAGGACCTGAGTTTAATATCATGATTATTGCAATCTTTTTCAAAGTCTCAAAGAATCAGCTAGCCTTTGTTTGAAATTCCAACAGTTAGAATACATAGGTTATTACTAGTTTCACGAGCCGTGTAACAAAATGAAATTTGACTTTTAATTATTTTAGTGCTTATCTCTCAAGACCAGACAAACAATTCCATAATAAATGTAGCCTAGTGAGTGTAGTATTAATGTGCAGTGCCAGTGGTGTAGCATCTAACAGTTCTATGGTGCATAATATACATGTAGGCTATAAGGATTCAGCACTGAATTTGGTCAAAATTAAAAAAACGAAAATTCTTCTTGATGTCTCTGCTTAGATGTTTTGTCAGATATTCTATGAAATAATTAAAATTGGTTTTCCAATTTTCTTTATGAATTCGCACCCACAGGAATGGGAAGTTCTATCGAGAGATAGGGTAATCTAAAAATAGCCGGCAATGTATAAAATAAAATAAGTTAATGTGTAATAATAATAATAATAATAAAATTTTTCATGACAAGGGTGAAAATTAGGCCAAAGGTGTAAAAACTAAAATGTTTGATCCATAAATAAGTCTAGAAAAACACTATAGTGTAAAATGTTTGATCCATTAATAAGTCAAGAAATACATGTTGTACAGATACCCAGTAGTAAATTATAATTTCTTTAATCAATTCATTTTACTAATGACAAGTCTTTCAAAGAACAATGATTTGAAAAAGAAACTGTCAAATTAAGATAAGTAAAATGTTAACATTAATTTAGTGCTATAAATCTAAACTTCATTGAACCAACATAAGAATATGGCCTACATTGTGTTCCATAGAATTTTTCTCCTGACATGGAATCGCCTAGTTTGTCATGTGACTTTGTTCATATATTCTGGACTCAGACCGGTATTTCATTTGCCACCTGTTTCCATGTTAAATCACGAAATTCAACCTGCGATTACTTTTTCCAGAAATCTCAGAAAACTTTTCAATATGTCACATGAAAGCCTGACTAATGCTTAGTTTCTAGACAAAAATTCAATATATCATGACCATGAAAATCTTGTGCTAGCCAAACTGAAAGTAGACCACTAAATTTTATCATCATCCGCTTGACTGTCAATGCACACAAAACGACTACCGTACTTTTAGAATTATCCTACCGCATGAAAATTTATCATCATTTCAATGAAATTCCAGATCTAGACAAAAAATTAGTCAAAAAATAGGCATGCAAAAACCCAAAAAGGAGGGGAAAAGAGGATTTCTAAAAATAAAACTGACTACATTCATTCATTTACATAATAAGTTTGAGTGGTCTGAGTCCTTCCAGCAGGTGACACACAATTCTGAGTACAGCTTGGGATATTAAGGAAATTTGGCCACTAAAAAATTGTGACATTTGGTAATAACTGAAATCCGCTATTTTGTTTAGTCAGAAATAGATAATAGATTTGACATCGCTTTGAAATGATAGGTAAAATTCTGCAGGTTGACGTAGAGATAACTCATGTTTATCATTCAGAGTTTACACGACCAAAGTTTCCACGCGCAAACTATTCAAGGTTTACATGACCAAAGTCTACACAGCCAAACCATTCATTGTTTCCACAGCCAAACCATTCAAAGGTTACACAGTCAAACCATTCAGAGTTTACACAGCCAAACCATTAAGAGTTTACACAGCCAGACCATTCAGAGTTTACACAGTCAAACCATTCAGAGTTTACACAACCAAAGTTTCCTCAGCCAAACTATTCAAGGTTTACACGACCAAAGTTTACACAGCCAAACCATTCAGGGTTTCCACAGTCAAACCATTCGAAGTTTACAGTCAAACCATTCAGGGTTTACACAGCCATACCATCTTACTTTATAAGAATTAAGATGGAGTTTATTAAGAATTCTTTAAAAAAAAATTCAAAATTTGTACTTATATAGGTAAGCTTACTGGAATGAAGATGACAGAATTAAAGTGTGGATTTTGTAGACACGGTAAAGAAGTGAAAGAAGAATGTGGAGAGTTACATCATGTTGTTACTGCATCTGGTAAACCATGTACAGCCCACCATAAATGCATGGTGAGTCTTTGGGAATTTGAGTTTCTACTCATCTCCATCAAGTAGTTAATTATACCACTTTAACAGGCTTACTACTGTGTTCCATCAATTAAAAAGGCTTGTTTCCGATATCCATATTGAAATGCAAGCATCCATGTGTAAATGAGTTGGTGTTAGTGTTAGTTCAAATCAAGCACACAAATATTTATAATGTGCTTGTAATGTTATGTTATGACCTTAAAGGGATATTTAGTAAAAAGTTTTCATTATACGCCGACATGGAAATGTTGCTGCCGCCCCTGTTCGTCTGTCCGTTCACATTTCTTGTAGGCGCAATAGAGGCTACAGTTTTTCTTCGAATTTGATGAAAATTGGTATGCATGTATATATTTATGAGATCTTGGTCAAGTTCGAAATTGGTATTAATTCAATGACCGGTTTCAGAGTTATTGCCTTGACTTAGTGAAAACGTGTCAAATTTGGCTTGTAGGCACTATAGATACTACAGTTTTTATCAGATTTGATGAAACTTGGTATTTATGTATATATTGATGAGATCTGAGTTTGCAATTGGTAACAATCGGATGAATGGTTTCGGAGTTATTGCCCTTGATAAGAAAACGCGTCAAATTTGCATTGTAGGCGCGATAGAAGCTACAGTTTTTATCCAATCTTAATGAAACTGGATATGCATGTATATATTAATGAGATCTAGGTCAAGTTAGAAATTGGTAATAATTGGACGAACAGTTTCAGAGTTATTGCCCTTGTGTGTACAGCAATGAAACATTGTTCATGTTTGAATTTGATGATTTTTTGATGAACTGTTTCAGGTTTTTGCCTTGACTTATAGATGATTTTAAGATTATCTGAAAAATTTTTATTATGCAACTAAATATTTTGTTATCATTTCTGACAGCTGCTAGTGGGCGTTTGTTTCCTTGCCTGGCTAGCTATCTTTATCAAAAACGTGGTAAATTATACCTGAAAATATTTCTAAAGTATGGCTATGTATCTTCTTGATCAAGCTGAATTTGTACTTGAGAGTACTATTGTTAATTTAGCAGTTGACCTAGTTTTGGTGAGCTAGAGCTAGTTCAAACTTTCAGATACGTTTAAGGACACATTTATCTTGATTTTGGTGTATAGTTTTCACAAATTTGATGTACAGAAAAAGGGGAATGTCCCTTTAAACTAATATGGTACTTATTATTTTTTTAGCAATATTCAGCACTCTTAGTTCAATACAAATCTGAACATTTTGGTGGATTTAAAATAAGTAAAGTTTTTGAAGAGCTAGCCAGAGGAAGATCATCGGTATGCCTTAAGCTTTATTTACTTTTTAACCTAATATACATTTCAGATTTTCTTTCAAAAAGTTGTTTGGATAGATGGAATTGGGTTTTATCCCCATTGTGCAGACAACTGCATTGGTGAAGAGAAATTAAATAGTATCATTCAGCTTGTAATTCTGTTTTTTTTTTGTTATTCGTTTTATCAATTTATAAATTTTAAGAAAAGAATCCACAGAATACAATTTGAGAGATAATATTCTTTCATTGGTATACAATGATGTATAAATATGTTATTTCCATACAATTCAGAATGCTTTACATAGTATCTTATCTTTTTTAAATATTTTTATTTACAGAAATGTTTCATCTGTAAATGTAAGAGAGGGCGAACTAAAAGTGGTTCTATTCGTGTGACTGGTGCTACGTGTGGTTGTGCTGTTAAGCAATGTCGTAAAACATTTCACTATTACTGTGCTAAAACCAGTCAAGACTGTATTACTAAGAGATTGGTTGTTAGTTTTAAAAACAAAAATAAGATCACAGTTCTATACAGGTAATGTGTAATTTAAAGAAATGCTAAAAATAATTCTTTATCTTATTTGGAATATGTATAAATTAGAAATTGAGAAGGTTTATGTCTTCTCACTTTCATTGTTGATTAGTTTAATGTGAATTAGATTATCTGCTTCAAAATGTTTTAAATTTTAGCCAGAAATTATCCTCTGTAAGAACATATTTTACTGTGACAAGTGAATGTGTTAATGGTTTTTTATCAATACAAAGTGATTCTAAGACTTACGGTGCTCTATTGATATTCCCATCATGAAAATCAAAAGTGATTTACTGATTGAGATTTCTAAATTAAAAGAGTTGTGTGATTATCTCCCTCTGAAGGCATGAATTAGCTATGCTCCCTTAAATTAGATATAAACTGATAGGATTTATAAGTTGAATCCTTAAATTTTGCGACAATTAATTAGATATATTTATAAATATTGCCTTAATTGAAAAACATTGATGGCAACACCTTTTAGTAAAGTTGATTTGAAACAACCTGTGTTAGTCAACAGATGGCAATAAATCTGTAATATTAACTTTTGTTGTCTTTTCTTCAGAGTATTTTGCTCTAAAGAGCATGAAGTGCTATATCGACGGAATTTGAAAGAATGTAAGTTCCTTCAACCAATCTTTTAAGTAATAGTAAAGTCAGTAGCATGTGATGCTTGGACAAACTGATGTCAAAATGGTCTAGCACATGTGTAGGTCCCTCGACAGTTGAAATAAAAAAAGAAGAGGAGGCTACTGCTGCTGATCTTGAAAACTTTCCATTCTCTCCAGTCTAATTAGTTGCAGAAGAGTAAGACGTAAAACTCCATTCATTTCATTTTTTTCATGTATTGACATATTATAATTTTGCACCCATGTCTTTCCCCCTTTCACTTTTTACACGCCCACATTATAATGTGGTTGCCCCTGTCTGTCCATCCGTCAGTGCACAATTGGCTTATGAACACAGTAAAGTCTACAGTTTTTATCTGATTTAATGAAATTTGGTGTTATAGTTTATATTCATGAGATCTTGGTCAAGTTCGAATTTGATGATTTTTCAATGAATGGTTTTAGAGTTATTGCCCTTGACTTAGTAAAAACACGATTTTAATGAAATCTGGTGTGATCATCTATTACAATGAGATCTTAGTCAAGTTTGAGTTTGACGATTTTTCAATGAATGGAATTTGAGTTATTGCCCTTGATTTAGTAAAAATGCTTCGAAATTTGTTTGATTAAATCAACAATATCTTGAACAGATTATTTGTACGATTTGACACAGATTGGTGCATGCTTTTGATATATTGAAAATGTATCAGGGAAGTGGGCGTATTTTGCAAGGCAACCACATGTTTATATATGTTGATCCACTTCTTATATAATGTAGATAGTAAAGATATGAATAAAAGTGCTGAAGAAAGTGAAGAAGATAGTGATATAGAGGACAGTAATAAAGAAGATGTTAATGATGATGAGGATTTATTACTTGGTGGATTTGATCTTTCAAGTCAGATGTTATCTCAACAAATGAATGAAAATGGTCATGATACAAGTTTTATTCCAGCTTATTCTAATACTGCTAATGGAAGTACCACTGACATCCCAAACAATAGACTAAAACGCTCAGCATCACATAATAGTCTTGTCTCTGATGAAAAGCCTCCAAAATCTGTTAAACTTGATAAGAAAAAAGGTGAGCTCCTTACTTATTCTTTTTGGATACACAATCCTCAACATAGCAACTTTTTCTATCATACTTTAGTCTCGCAAACTGGAATTTTTAAGCAGAGCTAATCAGTAATAGTGTTCACAGCTCACTGTCAAAATTTGAGCCTTCAAATCCATGTGTGTCCAGAATTATTTGGTTTGAATGTTAAAATGACGACCCATCAATTTAAGATACTCTGTGATATATAGAAAAGACATATATAGAAATAGTGAGTACAATTCCTAGTTTGAAGTATTTTTAAAGGAATTGTGTGATTTTCGTACACTTCTAGTACTTCTGCAGACTAAATACATGTATACAAGACTAAAATCAACCCCCAAAATGGCACACCTGTCCCTTTAATGGTTACTTCTATATTACATATTATAATGTGAATATATATTGATGTTGCTGACGTCTGTCAAGTATATCTCAATTTCCTTAAAAAATAAAAATAAAAAAGGGTTCAGAAATGATTAATCTTGTGATTTTTAACCTTAGTGTGCTTAACCCTTTCAAACGGTATAATTAAACATTTTATACCTGAACGACTGGTAAAGCACCAGTCTCACACAATGTTAATGTTATACGCTTTAAGATATATAACTTGGAGCTCAATATGACGTTTTATTTCATTTACACTCAATTTTCAAAGGATTATAAAGTTGGGCTCATGCTGTAGTATTGAGGAAGCAAACTGATGTGTGCAGATTTGAGTTTTTTATTTTTCCAAAAAGAGATAAATCTTAGTTTATCCATATCATTTGATTTGCTTTGCTTGATCTCATTAATCATACAATTGATCTACCCATAATGAAAAGGAAATAAAATCTTAACATAAACTTAATTTATAGTTATAGTTACATTTTTATTTTACAGTTATTGGTTTGTGTATATTGTCATCAGATGAAAATCTAGAAGCTCAAAGAAAAGAGATTCACACAATATTGAAGAATAATTATGATGTAAATGAGGTTGTAATATGGCAGGATGTAACATCTTATACCTTGAATTCTGATTTAACACCTTACTTTATCCATGCCATATCCAAGGCTGTAAGGTGAGGCATTCTATGTTTTTGGATTGAAAATATGTAACTTTAGGCCTTTGAGGGGATTAGTAGAGTGAACTATGAACTATAAGGGAACTCTTACACCAAACCGAGATCATTTGCTATATTAATGTGACTAGGCAATTTGGACAATCTTTCCATATAATTTGGCCATTCATTCATTGCTTAAGTATCTAGTTAGATTTCGGAGAAAGAAAAGAAAAAGGAAATTAAGCCATGTGTTTTCAAACGGGTCTTCTTTTTAACAAAAGGTACCCTATACTGAATAATATGGATATTTAAGTAAAACTATTGTGATAATCTGATTTATTCCAGGTCAAATTCTTACAAGAATCTACAGAATTTATTATTTTCTGAGAAATATTTGCGAGATAAGTGTGTATCTGATTATGAATATCAGTCAAATTTTATTCAAGATTTAAAAGATCCAGCAGTGGCTAAAAATGTTCTACAGAGTACTTGGAAATCTGTTTCCAAAAATCTTCAAGATGCTTCCATCAGTATTGGTAAGGAAATTGGAAGCGTTATTCCTGTTTATAGTTCCAATGTTTTATTACTTCTAGTAGGGGATGAAATAGACAAAAACAGTGTTATCAGGCAAAAACTTCAACATTTATTTGAATCGATACCTAAACCAGCTATATTTGTATGGAAGAATGATACACGATTAAAGAAATATCACACTGAAGATTTTGATGAAAATGAAGTAGATATACTACTATCAAATATTATAAAGAATAAGAGTGAAATAGGTGAAATTATAGATGAACCTAAAGATAAAATACTACTAAGAAGTAACACACAATCCAATGTAGTGAGTTGTATATATAAAGGGTTGGAAGGTACTGATATCAAGACAGATCAAGACAAATCACATTGTTTAGTGTTAATATCTCAATTAGATTCTACCATAGTAAATAGTGGAAACTATATCATAAAACTTTTACACAATATTCTTACTGATAATCATAACAAGTACTCCAAGTTTTCTATGGTATTGCCAGTCTTCTCTCTACAGTCTACTTTTAATATTGTGGAAAATATTAAAAACTGTGTAGATTTTGATGTCACCGTTGCAATATATAGTGCTTATAATCCAGAAAAACAGAGTATATCTTATATAGTGGCAGAAATCATGATCAGTAATCAGAGTGCAGCTAATAGCCTGATGATTTCTTCATCACGTAAGTGTCCATTTTTTCATATGTTATTTTTTTACAGCAGACTGTACCTCTCTCAAGCTTTAAACACCTGAAACTTGGATCTTGTCCATACCATTAAAATAAACTGTTGAATACATAATGTGGCTATGGTATGGTAAAAGACATATATATGTAAAGACAAAAAAAATTACAGCCGATTGCTGTAAAATTGAATCCCAACATTTCCCACTATATACAGATATCTCAACAGGCTCAACGACAAAAATTTCCCCTATATATGTAACATATCCATTCATTCTGCACTTCTGCAAAGAGGTAAAAAGTAAAAATTCTTGTAACTTTCAGGGCTTTATTTATTACAGAATCAGTAACTGAATGTCGACCTTGTGTTGAAGATAATGAAAGGCCTTCAACTTCTGGAAGTAACAAGAAAAGAAGACTTAGACCAACACTTTCACCAAGTGCTTTAAGCTTACAACATATGTTAAAACAAAGCTCATAAAACATAACATATTGTGTGCTTGATATTTGTTCGAGTGGCTGTAAATGTTTTTGTTGTTCTCATCTTAAGCGCATGAAGATAATATGACGAAGGTTGACTATACCTAAGACAGCATTGCTCAATCATTTTTATCATGTCTAAATAATTTTTAAAGCAAGATATATCAAGTCATACATCATCGTTTACAAAAATCTTGGTATTCATAAATCATGTCTGTAAGAGCTATTTGATCAAATCACATATTTAGTTATATCTGTTGAAATAGATATCTATTGCGAAGAAAATTATGTGTTTTAATCAGTCATCATCATGTATTAAAAAGTCTAGTACCAATGTTTCAGTTTGTAATTTGAGACCACTGTGATTTCAGAATCAAATTTCTTTCATTTCACTAATAATAGAAGGGAATCTGAAAATGTACAACAATGTATATAATTATAAAGTCTGGTGCACACACGAGCCATCATCTAAGGCAGAATTCATTCACGTTCTTCTCCGTAACTACGCATGTGTAGATAAATTTACATCTAAGCAGATAGCTTTAGTTACGCGCACACATGCATTTGTTCATTCGTGGAAAAAAATTATCAAACACATTTGATTTTCAACTTTTTAAACACGAATGATCAAAATCTTAAACAAATGTACCCACATATGGAAGCTATCGCATTAAGGAGAAGTGCACAAATGAATTCTGTCTGAGACAATGGCTCGAGTGTGTGCTGGACTCTGGTCCCATGCAATGTATCATGTACATTGCTAGAAAAGTAATAATCCATATTTTGACTTAAAATTCCAGCCTGTAAATTCATATTTCCAAATAATAAATTTAATAATTATTATTTTTATTGTTGAGAATGTTGAAGAACAAGAAACAATCTTAAGACTTCTGGTAATATTTTAGTGTTTTTTAGCATGTTGAAAATTAAACCAAAGATTAATGGTTAAATGTGATTCTGGAATTTTAGTAGTTGGACTAAATTATAGAAATTAAATCGCTTATTAGGTTTTTATTTTGCATAATTTTTTAAGAACAGTGGTTTACTGTAGTCTTTTAATTGTTTACATTAACGTGATATAACTCTTTGGAAGAAAAATTTTGAGCTTTAGTGTTTAAATCAAACCTTATATTAAAAGGAAGATAAAATTAACCTCTATCAAATGTTGAAGCAAACAATTAGTTGACTATATTTCTGTATAGATTTTGATTTTTTATTATCAACTTTATATATGCAAACACCTCTCTATGTGGACTTAAATTGTTAGCACCCAGTCCAACTATCAGTTCACGTTTTCTCTTGAATGCTGTAGAATGTACAGTTTTTAACAGATTTTGATGAAATATGGTATGTGTACATATAAACCTAGGATGGGTGGCCATTCACTTACTGCATGCTGAAGTGGTCGTATTTGAATGTGCTCCATTTATAAGTTCTAGTTATTGTTGATATATATTATGTTGAAGATGTTAGAGTATATATTATGTTGAAGAGTATTTGCTATAACTAAAAAAAAAGTTTATTTGAAAATTATTGCTGTTGATATTATGATAAAGCTTATCAGATACAATGTTAACATTTTTATTTAAAAGCTTATTGCTTATTATTATTTTACCTTATATGATTCAAATTTAAATGTGTTACTTATTTGTTTCTGTTAAATGAAAACTACAGTCACATTGTACATAAGTTTGAAAGCGTTTCGGTATTATTCATATACTGTATATCATGTTTGAAGCCAAGTTAGAGTTAATTTAGTTGAACAAATTAAACTTTAATTATTGTCTTTGTTAAAAAACCCTCAAGAGTCTAACTTGTCACAATATTGGTAGTGGGTTAATATTGGTAGTGTTGATGGTCCTTACATGGAGGTCTGCATAGTGAACATGGTGTACATCCCCAAGCCCTAGGAATAATCTGATTTTCTAGGTTTTGAACTTTAGGAGTCTTCTGTGTGAACTTGACTGAAGGCATTATTGTATTTTTTCTGTTTTGGATGTTCAACCATTAGTATTATAAGTTTTATTTTGCTTATTACAATTTGGGCATAGAAAATATAAACATTTTGGTATTGTCTTTGACTGCATTCTGCACATGATGAACTTATTAACACTTTCATAAAGATATCAGGGTATTAAAATAAAATCTTCATTGCATCAGTTAGGGACATGTAATAAAATAATTGTTAACATTCTCATATTATTCAATTGTTCAGATTTTCATTATTTTTTAAAAGAATATTTTCATATATCAAGTCAAAATTTATGATATGATAAAAATTGTATACAATGTTATTATATAATTGTCCAGTCAAATAAAGAGACCATATATATAATGTTGTAGTTATATGATAAATGATGCATCAAGTTTGTTAGAAATTAAATGGAATAAATTACTTGTCCTGATGTAATTTATTTCGATTTCCAATATATAAACCTTAGAAAAGGAAGATTTCATTTTGAAATTTTCATTAAGGGACAATCTGATTTAATCTAAATGTAAATTTTAGTCTGTATTGCTTGTGACTTTTTTATACATCAAATTTGAGAATTACTGTATTACATAATACAAGACCAGTGTTTTCAGGTGGACATTGTTTTTCACGTTGTGCAATCCACAAAAATTGAAAAAATATTCTATTCTATTCTTGTATCACTGGATGCAACGAATTAATTGGATTGTACACTGGCAAATACAGTCAAACTCTATAACGGAATGGATCCATTATGTTATAGTTGCACAAGCTGTGTTAAATATTTGATTAACATTTGTAAGCCATGAACATAGTTCGTATCAGTGGAGTCTGTAGGGTGAACATGGGTAAAATCAATCATTCTTACATCACATTTTCGACTGGATTCTGTCTCACTGTCTATATGATTATCATACACTAGTAATATACTAGAGGATATAAACTGAAACCTCTTCTGATTTAAAAACCATTTTTCTATACTATATAATTTAGATAATGTAATCTTTATAACATCTTGTTTTGCAGTTACTGGATGAAAAAACTTCCCAAAGCCTACAATCACAAACAAATCACAATTACATACAAACAACTAAATACCTTCAGCTGACCCTGAACATTTTAAATACAATTTTTTATCCTTAATACAGTATATACTGAATTTCTAAAACTATCATTGGTCTTTTCCTTGCATGAATTTATTTTTTGTGGTCAGATGAAATTGAATTTGTTATGATGAGACGAGAAACATTTTGTGACATGATCCATATACTTATATATAATACATAATAGCATGCTAGTAAAAATTTTCCTCATTGCACATTGTATCTTCATTAGCCCATATATCAATATAGGCCTCTTAATATCTGGAAATTGATAAAGAAATATTTTAAATTACAGTATTACATTACCTTGATGTAAAAGTGATTCCTTGGTGAAATGTAAGCAATAAGATTGTGCATAATGTTCTGTTGAATTGGTTTCCTCATTAAAAATCATAAAGCCTGCTAATCTAAAACCAATTTCTTGAGATGGAGGAAATTTCTTCCTTTCTCTCTCTATTTTGTCTGCAGGTGCATCAGGATCCCAGGTTATAGCACCAATTTTGATATCCATAACACATGCTTGTTTCATTTTCCATGTTATATTTTCCAATTTCATGTAGGTCACTATAAAATAAAAAGGCACTTCTCATATACTACATGAGTAGAAATATCAGGTACCTTGTCGTGAATATGTTTTGCATTCGTTTCTACTAATGGTCCAGGATAATTTGAACTGAATTCATTAGCATAAAAAAATGAAATAAAGTACATTTTAACATCCTCCTAATTGAGCAAATGAAAAAGATCAATGCCATACAGTGTGCAAAAAGGTACATTCTTATTCTGGCAGTACAGATGTACTACCTACTCTATTTTGTATTCCCAACTGTGGTGCACAGACTAATACATACAAGACTTATTTATTTTCCCAGCCCAGTCTTGCAGCTCTGACAAGGAGAAAGATAGCCCACAAATCTGGAGGAATTACTCCACTTATGCCAGGATCAAAGCATGGACTACTATGTCAGCAAGCAAGATTCTTACATAGTAAAACACTGCAACCCTCTATACAAAGATCAAGGATTCTGCAGGATATGTATAAATATACTTACCATCATCTTTTATCAAACTATCATAAAATACTGGTATAAACGATCTCAATGTCAGCAGATCTTCTGTTTCATTTTCTATATTAAAAACTGTTTGATAAAAATTGATCTCTCTTGTACCTCTTTCTCTAGACTGAGCTGGTTTTAAAATGTACCCATCTCCAATATCTAACACCTCTGAAATGGGAGAGACAATTTACATGTTAAGATTGTGTATTGTAAAACACCTTTGTAGAGTTTTAGAAAGAGGCTGTGATATAGCTCTATTTGTCATTGATAATATTACAAAACAATATAAGCAACACATTTCAGAAAAAGAAAATAACATCATCGTTTCTGGATTTAGTACCCATCATTTAGACTAGCAGATAGTGTTCGGTATTGCCTCAATACACTAAGTATCACAATAATTTATATTACAAGCTCATATCGCAATGGAGTAATTCGGCACTGTTTATTTGTAAACTTCTTTCTTCCTACTAGTATTAAAATTTGACGGTAGGTCTACATCTTACCATTTGTTTTGTCTCCATGACGTCCTGCTACTTGAGTTCTAAGTGGTTCAGAATTGATTCTATCCATAATTCAACAATGTTTCTACCATATACGGTTAAATTCTGATGATATGAATGATTTCTGAAAATGCAAATTGACATTGGAGTAAAACAAGGCATAAAGCAAAAATACAAATAACCCAAGTGTACGAAATATCCTCGAAATCCCTATATCCCTACAAAATCACAACTCTATCATCAATGAACAAATCGAATATACAATAACAACAATATGTATATTTATTTATACCCCTTTTACAATGGTAATAACCATTAAGATGATAAGTTAACTAGCAAATCCATGAAAATAATCATGAAATCGATTGGTATTTAATAGACAGAACTATTTTCTCATCCTTTTCAGTGATGTAGTCTCGAATGTCAAGCAGGCACTTCAATAGCAAAATATTTGTAGGGTAAAATGGGACATTTAGGCCATTTATATTATACCCGTAGAACTATATATAACTCTATGATTATGACCTTGAGATGACCAGGCCTGTTAGTGCAATATTGACTTTTAAAATAGTTTTAAAGAAATATACATATTATTAATATTATGCGTACAGTCATTTCCACGGCTGAATGTACCCTTCCTCTGATTATTTAATGGTTGCTTAGCTCTCTATCATGAAAGTTGTGGTATGACTACTAACTGCAAATAACACAAATAATTGTTTTTCATTGCAACCCGTAATTCTGTTTATTCTGTTCTCTTTATGCTCAATTTTAATAGCATGCTGTAATAAGGAGATTTAGTAAGCCAATTGTCCCAACTGAATGGAAGTTAAAGTGGTAAAAATCAAAGAATTGTATTTTTGAACAGGTTTACAGCAGATCTACGAAAGATAGTTTAAATTACGGAATCTATAAAGTTTCGGGAAATTGGTATTTTCATCATTGAACCCTTACCGACTTTAACTATTTGTCAAGACAAAAAGAGATATCAGAAAAGAATCTGATAATTTTTTTTCGATTCGTTTTAATCATTTTGTTGCTGTTTTGCTTCTTGTATGACAAAATGAACTAATTTTTTGGACCTATTAGACTTAATGGATTCCATGTAATTGCAGTCACAATATTTTCATGCAACTAATGCTGTTGTGGGCTCGTTGGCACAGGTGAGAGCAGGAGAAAATGTAATGAAAAGTTAATGAGTATTAAAATAGAAATGTGTTAATTGTTTAATTACTTCAATGAGTGTATACATAATAAAAGAATGAAACACGTGTATTGTACAATAAACTTATAAACACTTTTATATTGAGATAATCATTAAACTATTGTTTTTATGTTTTAATTCTGTACGTTTTTATAATCTTAAATCACATACATTAGACATTTTTCAAATCATAGTAAAAAATCGTTGGCTTCATTCAAACCCATTATGTGTGAACAATTTATATTTCCACATCTGGTCGGCTGAAGAAAGAGTTTTCTTAATTGATGGGTTGCATAAGGGATTTTTTTTCTATCTAATTGTCTTAACATTTCCTTTACAAGCTCTTTTAACTACTATCCGCATCATTTTACAGAATATAAATCTGACTCTCAACAAAAGTGAAAACGTACTTACACTCATCATTTTCATATTTTTTTCAGACATGACATGAATATTTTCGAAATACAATAGGAGGATTTAAAATGTTCTTCAATGGGGGTGGGGGTGAAAGAGGACTGGCTACTACACATTCTGGTGCATCTTTTCATTTATCAAAAGTGAATATAATTAATTCTCAACATTATTATTTCAACATCAAATCAGTATCATTTTCGCGTAGGCCCTATAGTTTGCCCATTGTCAATATCAGTCCGACGATACCCATGCAGTCCTAAAGTCCCTTATGTGTACCGTTAAATCAAAATGGATAGGGTTGTGGAAAATTTACAGTTCAATATTATGACCATGATTTCAGCCTGAAAATCTGGTATGTTCTTTTTATATAGTTTCTTTCCTTTTCTTGAAATTGCGAATCAATGTGGGAACAGGAACTTATCCTGACTGAAGACATTTTTTCATGAGTTTTATTTTGCACTTTAACACATAAATCTGTGTTGAGTTTGTTTATAGTATACGCTTGGAGTAGATACACCGAAAATGTATTAATGAATGAAGTATAAAAATAGTGTTATTTTAGAATACATTGTTACACTTTGTAGGTATATATCTATAGTAGTTTAACAATATATTTCTATTGTAATATGATACCTACTTTCTTTAATTAATTAACCACTTTAAACAACACAGTATCTTATTGTACACTTAATTATTCTTACTAATTAAAGCTTATCATAACTTTCTATATACATACGGGTGGAATGCTTCCATGTGTTACTATAGAAACGCCCCATCAATGAGAAAAATGAGCTCAAGAGGCGGGACCAACTTCTTGCCAAATTTTGATTGGCACTTTCCGATTCCTCAATGCATAAAACAGCTTGCATGACGTTTCGGGGTCAGACCAACAACTTTTCCAGTGGTGCTAGGATAATTTCGAAAAATGGCCTCTCTTGCTGCACTTGATACAAGCACGTCTGTGATGCAACCAGCTCAACTCTTAAACTGGGTGTTTTTGACTTTAGCAGATCAACAGAATAATGTTCAGAATGGTCAAAGTCTGTATACAGATCCTTGGAACAACCCGACCAATCCTCCATTGACTTCTGTTACTACCGTCAATAATTTACTCAAATCTCATAGTCAAAGTATTTTTAATCAGGATCCATGGTCATCCTCAATTACAAGTGGATTAAACACGGTAAGTTTCATATTTTTAAATTTAGAAGGTAGAATATAGACTGTACATTGTGTAATGATTTGTTCTTTAAGACATTCCTGTAGTAATTTGATCTCACAATTTCTACCACGTCACAGTAGTCGGCTTTTGGAATCAAAAATATTGGAATCAAGATATTTGCTATTAACCAACATATTTAGTCAAGTATTAATTATATTAGATAAAAAGAATAAGATAGTCAAAACGTTAAATTTGAAGCACAAAAAGATTCATAATCCCCCACCCCCCTTCTCCACAAATTGTTGATAAAAATTATCGATGTTTTGCATGTCTAAATGAATGTTGGGCACTTGACTTTAAAAATGGAATTCAGATAAATATTATACACATACTTGTATGAAAATGAAGAAGCCACTTCAGAACTTCCTAAATATTATAGCTTCCCTTTCCGACTTAAAAAACAGTAAATTTTATGACCTATTTTGAAAGTTCTGAATTATATTCTAAATAAATGTGCGGGATCAAAGTTGATCATAATATTTATTAAATACTGATATGCGTATGAAAAGTTCATCATTGTTCTGGGTTATGATAGAATATCACCAAAGATTGCAGGCCTGTGGCTAATATGACCCTAAGTTATAAAAGTCTTACGATCAAAACAAAAACATCGTTAAAGACAGACTTGGTATTGGCTGGCACCACATTGGCACTGTGAGAAATGTAGGCCAGAATATTATGATGTGAGATAAGGGTTATAAGGTATTAAATTTCTTCACAGTTAGAAGACTATAGTGTACGTTAAAATAAATAAGGTCGCGTTGAACTTGTCTACGATAACTTCTGATTCTCCAGCACATCTGGTTTTGTCATTAGTATCAAATACTTGCCTCTGTGAAGGAATCATTTAAGTTATTAAGACAAAGAGTGGGCTTATGTATAATATATAATGTTAAGTAATGTAGATATAATAAAATTTATAAGTACAATAATATCTATATAATCTTTATTATATCAAAATTATAATGCATAACATCAAATATTTTTATACTTTCAATAATGGTTATTCCATTTTAGATATCCTATAAAATACCAACTATTCATTGTTATTAGTCTATATAATATGATATTAGATATTTTATATAATACCATTATGATCTATTCCATGTCAATATTAGTTATAAAGTAATATCATGTGATATTAGATATTTTATATAATGCCTCTCAATACACCCGAACAACATTATGTACTATTCTATGTCAATATTAGTGATTAGTCTATATAATATGATATTAGATATTTTATATAATACTAATATGTTCTATTCCATGTCAATATTAGTTATAAAGTATTATCATGTGCTATTAGATAATCTATATAATGCCTCTCAATAAAACCTAACATCATTATGGACTGTTCTATGTCAATATTAGTTATTAGGCAATATAATATGATATTAGATATTCCAAATAATGCCATAATACCCAATAAATTACATATTCTATATAATACAAAAATGAATTATATGCGCTGTCAATATTAGTTATAAATCAGTATCATATGATATTAGATATTCTACATGATACCAATAAGAACTATATGAGCTGTCAATATTATTTATAAATCAATATCATACGATATTAGACTTTCTATATAACATCCATATGAACTATTCTTTGTCAATATAAGTTAAAAATCAATATCATTTGATCTGTTCTATGTCAAAAATTAGTTATAAATCAATATCATATGAGATTAGATATTCCAAATAATACAAATATGGATTATATGAACTGTCAATATTAGTTAGAAATCATATGATATTAGATTCTATAAAATACCAACATGATCTATTTAATGTCAATATTAGTATTATTGGTTATAATTAATTAATTGGTATGATATTACATATTCCATACAATATCAATAATACCAATATCAATAAATAGTTATAAAGTAATATCATGTGATATTAGATATTCTTTACAATGTGTCTCAATACACCCTAACATCATTATGGACTATTCTATGTCAATATTAGTTATTAGTCTATATAATATGATATTAGATATTAGATACCAATATGATCTATTCTATGTCATCATTAGTTATATAATCAATATCATATGATATTAGATATTCTATTCAATTCTATGTCATGTAAATATTAGTTATTAGAAATTTAATTATTCACCAAATTATATATTTGTCTTATTGTTATTCCAGACCACCTCACCCTATGGAAGCATTCAAGATTTAGCTGATCAGTTCTGTGACTTATCATTGTCGATAGATAGAAAACCTGTACGAAGACCACCCAGTACATATTTGTGTCATTTGTGTTTTAACAAGGGGCATTATATCAAGGACTGCCCACAAGTATGTGATGAAGTAAGTATAATACTTATTTTTTTTTACTCTATATTTTCAAACCTGTTTAATGCATAGCAAATCATAAAAACCACTACCAAATTTATTGGCAATTTGAAATGGTTAAAAAACCTTCTATTGGTGTCTAATTTGTGATATTTTTTTCCAGGCCCGCCCAAAAGGTGAAGGTCTCACACCTTATCAAGGTAAAAAGCGATGTTTCGGAGAATACAAATGTCCCAAGTGTAAACGAAAATGGATGTCTGGTAACAGTTGGGCTAATATGGGACAGGAGTGTATCAAGTGCCATATAAATGTCTATCCTAATAAACAGGTAAGTCTCATGTCATAAGAATAGGCATATACATCATCAAAATTTCCATTCTATAGACATCATATAGCTATGGTGATGTATATATTTATGGGTGACTAGACATCAAATATTTCTTATCCTCAGCACCAAATTGCCTAGCAGTTGACAATCTAAGTCGCTACTGATAGAGCTATTATGTTACTGTTACAGAGTATGTAAAGAAAATCAGATCAAATATTATCATTACATTTTATTTAAGATTTATAATTGTATTTATTACAGAGACCACTGGAAAAGCCTGATGGTCTGGATGTGTCTGATCAAAGTAAAGTTCACCCACAACATCTGTGTGAGAAATGTAAGATGTTAGGATTCTATTGTAGAAGAAATTAAATGTGTTGTGATGTATGATGAAATGGATATAAGCATACATACAGGAGATTCACTGTGCTTTAGTGCCTTATGATATTGAAGTATTAGTAATTTGTGCCATTTTTAAAGAGTGTTATTTTGTATATAATTTGTGTTTTTTTTATTTATTGCCTTTAGTCTGAAGTAGTTTGTATATTAGTCTCTATATAAATTTAATTACAAGTATGTGATAGAAATTTTAACTGTAACACTGAAGGGAAAAATTGTTTTGATAATTTATTGAATAGAATAGCAAGTCTATATATTTATTATATATTTACATACATTAGAGTTATGAAATTGAATGACTGGTAGATATTAGGTTTATGTTACTATCAAGTATGTTTCCTATGTTATCTTCTGTTTATTGAGCCTTTCCATTTAAAATTATTGGGGATTCTGAAGTGACATGCCGAGTTCAGTCAAAAATCAGTACAAAATATGGGATATTATGGCAACTCCTCTGCTAGTGATACTAACATTAAATCAGTGAAAAATTGATATGAAAAGGTTCAATAAGTAGCAGTTATAATATAGGATGTTATTTGTTACAGATGGAAAATAAAATGTTTTTATGGACCAGTGAGTGATTATCAAATACATACCACCATAATATATTGTCACAAACAAATTTAATTAAAAAACTTCATGAACTTTTAACTCAGTATTTTTATACTTTCTGAATATAATAATTTTTGATCCATAATAAACCATGCATGATATGAGTTTTATGAAAATTTCATGCAAAATTATCAAGCATTGGTAACAATGTGACAATATATTATAAAGTTTATAATTCAACTATTCTGGAGAGTAAGAAATATGTGGACTCTCCCGAAAATATATTTACATTCTATTTATACTTTGACCAAGAAAAATGGTTTAATAATTTAATATGTAAATTTCTGAACTGATAATGAAGGGACACATTTCAACTGAATTTTTATTAATATATTAAATAATTTCATTTTTTGTAATTTGTATATATTTGGTGTGTAATTTCTCTATTGCTAAGCAGTGTCAGAAAGATGGCTATTTGTATAAATTCGGTTCCTTTTTCTTCATTTGATAAGATTCCAGTTTTCATCTCCATAATTTCAAACTAAGAATTCTCAGATGTTTTGGTTTTTATAATTATTTGTTCATGCTTTTATATTGTATTAGAAAAAGTTTTAGATATTGATTGACATTGACTGCTTACAAAGGTTACAAATTAGTTACTTCTGATAAAAATTATCTGCAGATTAATTTTTGATGATAAAATAATGTGCAAAATGACAAACTTGATGTTTTTCCATTATTAAGTAAATATACTTTGTTTATGCATGCTACAACAAATTCTAATAAACCACATTACGTCAAATTCTGTATATTCTAAATAAGCTCAAAGGTTTTGTAGATTTTCAGTCTTATTTATGCTTAACTTATATTTTCTGTTGAGGAACGTTTCAAATATGTATATAATTTTGAAAGCTTTAAGAAATAATTTTAAGAATAATGTTTTTTTTATTTTCATCCCATGTATTTCATCCTAATTATTCTACTTGTGTGATATGCTCAATTATAGTTTGTGATTTGTGTGTGCATGTTGATTGTTATAAATCTTTTAAAATACATTCAAATGTTGTTTCTTTTGCCTGTACATTTTAAAAACTGCATGAATCTAGTTAGTCCAAAACATCTGACTCTATTCTGGCCTGTTTCATGGGAGTTTTCCACATCTCCGATTACCTTTAGTCTAATTGTAAATTAGTGTTGGACATTACTGTTACTTTTTTATTATGTGTTCCTCTGATCCTTGAACTTTTGGTTGCACACACGATCTAAAATGGCTGACAATTAGTTGGGTTTAAAAAAAATATCCTATGTCACAGACGTGACAAATGGTGTAGAGGGATAATGATGGTATGACTGAACTACATCTTTCTGGATATATCTAGGTTTGGCGGATTCGATTATAAATGTATATTTTGGAATGCCTCCACCCTAACAATCCCCACAAAACAGGACCTAGGTTTTCTGTCTCTACACAACTGTCAAAATAGCTTGGAGGCTTGAATAGAGGCAGATGTTCAGTCTAAAATCTAGTCTTCTAGAACGTTTGTCAGTAAGGCTATATGCCAATCTTTGGTCTTTTTCCCAAATATATCGGAATATTATTTTTGTCGGCAATAGCTTTCATTTCAAATACTTTGCTTGTCTATATACTCAAAAAATATTTCACCATGTATAGTGCGCACCCCTTCTGCATGGAGCCCTTTTAAGGGTAAAAAACTGTGCATTATATTTGGAAATATACTGTATGAGTAAATCCATGACAAATTATCAATAATCTTCAGAGGATGTGACTTTGTATTAGAATTATTATTTAGGTTTCATAATAGCATTGGGCAGCATTCAATTCTTCTGTCCTTTTTGTTACATAAAGAGTCAAGGAAAAGAAGGGACATTGTCTTATCACAATATTGCATATTTGGGTACTTGAAGAAGGAACTGTGTACATATACAATCCTACAGGAATTAAAAGCACACAGATAATCACATTTCAACATTCAATGTTTATTAAATATAGACATACAAAAATAATACCTGATCAATTGGTTGAAATTTCAGGTAACAACTATTGATTAGATATAATTACATAGAAAATATTATTTCATAAGATATACACAATGGATAAATTCTTGTCACAATGATATGTAACTTGTTGCATGGGATGGAAATTTATTTCACCTACTGAAAGAAAAATTTGAAAAAAAAAACTTGTAAATTATAATGGAATTAAAGATTAGATACCATACACCAATAGGCAAGAGATGGACTATTTCTGAGGTTATTCTACAAGCTGTATGCTCTAAAGTCTAAATAGTTATTGGATTTCAGTTTCTTCTTACTGCATCTAGAGATGTAGGGCATGTTCATCCTCCCAGATCACCTGATGCCATTGTGACTAGGATTATCAACATTCCTGTATTATTTATATTTATTTGACACGGTTTTAAGACCAACCAAATAAATATGCCAGATGCTCATCAACCCTTCTGTTTCCCAGTTAAAAAATTACTAGCAGACGATATTTGCATATCTTGTGTTTTCTCCTGAGTAATATAGTCTTATACATGTTAAAACATCTGGAAAACATATCATTTCAATCAATCAACTTAAAATCACAGCTGTCCAAAAACTTCTGATGTAACATAGATTATATTACACTAAATTACATTTCAAATATGTCTCAACCAGATTGATGCAATCAGAAGTACCATTCTACTGTCATTTAAGGTACCCTTCTACTGTTTTCAATTACCAAATATGGCATGACTTTATGACCAAAAGATAAGACCAGACACACTTACCATATATTATCACTGTTCTTGAAACATCTGTTTACATTGTTTAGAATTAGCTGTATTTAATAAGAATGATGTGGATGGAATTTTGAAGTTGTCTGTATAATTATATCTATAAGATTTGAAGCCTTTTAATTTCTCATATTTGGTAAATTTTTGTCTGTAAAATAAAACATAATCTTTTAGATTGGTCAATTTTTAATTCATTCTATATCCTATAGAGCTCATTTCACATGTGCCATTGCCCTTGCAAAAACTCTTGTGATAATCCATTTTCTGTTTTTGTGAACCCAATTTGGAGCAGACAAGTAGGATGAAAAATTCATTTCAACTTAACCAGATGATTTGTTGAGAAATATATTATGAAAATAGAGAGACATTCTCCATGACTTGTATTACACTCTAATCTAAAATCTTACATAAAAACTATTTACATAAGAATAATGCTCACTTGTATTCTACGTCTGGTCTTTCCATTTGAAGACATAATTTAAGAGGCATTTCATAAAAATCTACATCTGTTATAAAATCTATGACTAATTCTCCCTCAGCTGAGAATATAATACCAGTATTCAACACTGTAGAATCTAACTTCATAGTTCCTTCTAGATACATTCCACCTCTATAATAATATATCAATACCATAAGAATCAGTTTTAGCAAACCTGAATTTCATGTTAATTAACTTGAAGAGATTGCAAATTTCAATCAGACATCTGTGGCTTCTTCAATTTCACTAAAAGTAATCATTTTATGACATCAGTATTGCAAAAGCCATTGATATATAAGGACCTGTGCGATATTGACGTTATAAAACGCTTAGTTTAGTGGAATTGCAAGAACCACAGACGTCTGATTGAGAATTAGAATAATGCAAATCAGTGCTATCACTTTCCCCAATACATAATTTTTTTAGAAAACCTCTTTAAAATCCCATTAAACCATATGACAGTAACTTCATTTTAAATCACTTGGTGCTTTCTACACAAGCCTCATTTGTTGGTGCATGTATATATCAGAAGAATCTTGTCTTTTATTGATCACTTTAAAGCCACTAATTTCTAGAAACTTACCTATTTTTAATGACAGAATGGGAATTTCTACTCCATAAACTTATGCTAACTAATCCGGATAAATCTAGTGATGTAACACCTTGTACTTGTATATCTACTATCATACCATTAGATAGATGTACTTTCTCAGAATGATCTTGTAATAATACATTCACCTAGTAAATATAAGCATTTCTTTTGTAAAGTACAATTAATCGAGTAGATATTCTATTGAATGGAAAATAGTATTTAGTTATAAAGGACGGGTAAAAGCACAAACAGGGTATGGCAACTCTAAAGTCAATTTTACAGTCATATATAACCTCGAAACAATCATTCCATTCACATATATATCTCTTAATAAATTGATTTTATGTTTTAATCTTAATGAATTACCAGTAATAACATGAGGAGAATACACAATGTCAAACAAGGCTAGTTTTTAACATAATACCATAAAAATTCATTACCTGTAATGCAGAAGTTAGTTCTGAAGGAGCATTCCAAGCAGCTGACATCAAACCAGCAGTACCTCTAAAAAATTCTATTTGTTTTAATATAACATCAAATAGAGTTAGAGACATTCCTGCTGTGGCTTCTACACCTTCCTCTTCTGTTATATCTTCAGCATTGTCTTCTTCAGCTTCCCCTTCAGCTTCTCCATCAGAATCACCAAGTAATGATTCTAAACCATCAGCATAAATATCAAACTGGAAAATAATTATTAAAGTTATAAAGCTGATATACAAAAGAACATAATTACATAAAGCATCATGTTTAAATGTGATTCATATGATATCATTTTTAACAACAACATTAGATATAGTATCTTATTGATATGATGTTTATGATAAATCATGAAGTTATAAAGAAGATATCTATAGAACATCATTAGATATAGTATCATGTTTTGAATATGATGTTTATGATAAATCATGAAGTTATAAAGAAGATATCTATAGAACATCATTAGATATAGTATCATGTTTGAATATGATGTTTATGATA